TCAATGAAAATTAAGAAAACCAGGGAACATCTCCAGACCAGAGGAGACCCATGAGACGAGACAATCGAAGGCAGTGTGCGGTTCTGGACTGGATCCCGGACTGAGTAGAACAGCCATGAAAGACCAAGAGGTGGGTTCAGACGAGGGCAAGCCAATGTGCAAACCGTGGGCGTTAGCTAATCAAGGGCATTGATACGGCTTCAATCATAACAGTGGTTCACGCTCATCACGACATTATTAAATGGGGGGAGAGGGAGGGAGGCTGGGATGAGAGGAAGCAAACGGGAAGCCCGTGCCTTCTACTGGATTTCCTATGAACCTGAAACTGCCAAGACAGTCTAATGATTCAAAAAAGACTACTGAGGCAGCTTAAGAATTTTTAAGAATTTTTAAAATGGGCAATGAGATGGTTCAACAGTCACAGTTCATCAACACTGAGTTCATCAACACGTTTGGGTGAATTTAAAAAGTTAAAACAGAGAGAGAGGCCAGGGTAGAGCCAAGAGGAGCAGGTGGAGGGATGTGCTGTCACCCAGTGCTGCCCAGAGGCCAGGGGAGTTGGGGACAGAGATACATCCACTGGGTTGAGTGATGAGGTAGCTCCTGTCACCTTGCTGGGGTGAAATTCAGAGGAGGGGAGGGGCAGAAGGCAGATGGGGCAATGGAAGGAGGAAGGAATGGGAAGAGCAAGTGAAGATGATACCCTGGGTCTCAGTGGTCAAAGACAAGTTTCTGCACCGATTCATTCCCAAATCAGAGAAGCCCCGTTGCTTCCGGGCTCTGAAGGTAGATGGAGAGATGGCCCTGGGATAACACAGTGTGTGGTTTTAGGCCTGTCCCTGGCTCTCCCCTTTTGAAGGACAGAAATAGCATGGCCTAGTACAGCCCAGCGCTTTGGCTGTGACCAGGGAAAAACCAGATTTGAGCTGTCTGCAGAGTTACAAGGTGAATCTCTGAGGCCCAAAGTCAGACTGTCTTGCTGTCGCCCAGCCCCGACCTGGCCCTGTGCAAGCCACACATGAGAAGAGGCCAAGAGGCCACTTCCTCCCCCTGAAGAAGGCGGACATGATCGTTATGGACCAGGTATGTGAGTGTCTATCACAGTGCCCAGCACATAGTAGGGACTTTAAAAATCACAGTTGTGAGAAAAAGCTTATCTACCACAGAAAGCTCACTAATGCTTCGTGAGATTTGATATCACAGAATTAGAATTTCATCCCTCTAAGACACCAAGGGAAAGGTGTCACAAGGTAAGAAAATAAAAACCTCCACCAAGACGGAGCATTTGACCGAAAAGCCTGTGTCCAGCAGGGGCACTAGGGGCTGCACCTTCGCTGTCCGGGGAGAGAGAATAAACCAAGACAAGGACATCCAGTGTCTCATCTTGGCAGAGATTAAAGGAGGGAGACAAAAACTCATTTCTAAGAGTCCAGACAGCAAGCTTGCGCTCCCCAAAACTGATGGTCTCACTTTGCACAATCAGTGTGACCCGAAGAGAAACACACACGGCCCACAAACAGGTGTCACAGCCATGGCAGGAGGGAGGTTGGCCTGGGTGGAGGAGGGAAGCAAACCCCACACCTCCCTGGAAGAACTAGATTCCAACACGGCACCCAGACCCCAGAGCGGTGAAAAATGAAGTCTCAAAAATCTATGAAATATGGTCGAGTAAATGAACTGCGGCTCTCTGGGGCCTGAGTCACTGGTTTATGACGAGAGCCCGTGCTGGGCTCCAGGTGGGAGGTGGCAGCTCTCTGCTCCTGCAATCCTGGTTTGCCCTGGCGAATGGCACGTGCGCCAGTCTGTTCCTCAGGTAAGAGTGTGTCTGGGAGGGCGACAGCACCTCCCCAGGACAAGGCAGGACTTCGGTTAACTCACAGCCCACTGCAACCCTAAACGCCATTACGCTTTGTGGCTCTGAGGACTGCGGGCAGACATCCAGTGGCACTGAGCTGGCCAGGGCAGAGGTGGCTGCAGATTAATACATCTTAATTATTCTGTTTATACAAACAAGCAGGATGAAGGCCCCACCGTAGCTGGAACTTTCAATGACTTGGGGCCCAGAGAGAGAAAAAAGTGTAGAGAACCAACTGCTCGATAATTAGCTTGGGAGCAGACTTTTGGTTTTTCTTCCCTTTGGACTAAAAATAACATATGGGATGTTTTTACATTGGCAAGATTACAACCTCTGCAGATGGTGCTTATTTTCTACCTGTCAGGCCTGTGTGTGCGAGTGTGTGCAGAGTCACACACAGGCTGTGCAACCCAGCACAAACCACAAGGATGCTATAGTTGGGATGGGGAGTGTCCCCAAGAGCCCAGGTCCTGAAGGCTTGGTCCTCAGGGTGGCGCTGTTGGGAGATGGTGGTACCTTTAAGAGGTGGGGCCTGGGGAGAGGTCCTGTTGTTGGGGGCGTGTCCTAGGAGACTGGGGAGCCCTGCTCCCTCCCTGGACAGGCAGATGGTGGTTCTGCTGTGCCTCATGCTCTCTGCTGGGATGTGCCACCTTGTCACAGGTCCGAAGCAACAAAGCCAGCCGACCATTGACTAGAAACTCCAAAACTGAGCCAAAGTAAGCCTTTCTCTTTATAAATTAATGATCTTGAGTATTTTGTTATAAATTATATAAGCTAACACAGGAAGACCAGAAGGAAAAAAAAAGATCAAACCCCACGGAGGATTTCCCCTTTTGAAAGCCACCACTCCTGCTCGCTGTGTCCTCAGGCACAGAAGCAGGGCCCTGTCTGCAGAGGTCTCAGGTCCTTGTTTCCACAGCAACCCAGAGCCCACTACGCGCCAGTTGTTGCTGAGGACTTTGCCTTCCACTAGCTCAGCGGACTCCCTTGCATTCACAGGAAGACCACGGGTGAGGGACTAGCAAAAGGTCACACGTGCTAATGGTGGGGTCAGGATTCGAATCCAGAACATAAAGCGGTGGTTCTCCAAGTGCTTCTCCAGGCCCACAGGATCAGCACTGCCCTGTTAGAAACGCAGATTCCTGGGCCACTCCAGTCCTAATGGCTCAGAAACCCTAGGACTGGGCACAGCAATCTGTGACATGGCTGCTATATATCAGCCCATAGGTTGCTTACTTCCTCCCAGGAGACTGAGGTCTCATCTCAAAAGCTGGCCAGCACCAAAGTAAAAAATGTATACCTCCACTTATTAAATAAACACAGCCCTGCTCCGCCTTCCTGCTTGCCTACCCCGAGTTTTATACAAAATGGCACCCAACATCTGCTAGGAGGAAATGAGATGAACCTCGGGATGTAGGAGGTAAACCAGGTAGGAGATAAACCAGGCGTAGGAGGGCAGCGGCTCTTTCCTTCGCTGACGTGGTCTCAGTGCTCAACAGAGCTCAGCCCAGTCGGCCCTCAGGGAACATGGGAGAAGGAAGGGGTGAGTGAAGGAGGAGCGGCAGGGCCACCACGGTGGGGAGGACCCACACTGACACATTAAGCACAGGCCACAGTGAACCTGAGCCTGCACTGGAGGGCTGGGGTCAGCCAGCCAAGTGGCACCTACCCAAAAGCCTTCAGCAAGCAATTCCTATGTGCTGGGCACCATGGCCAGGCCCCTGGGGACCCACACATGACTCCTGCAGGGACCTGCCCTGGGGGCTGCATAGATGGGGCTTAAAGTGCAGGAGTTAGAGGCAGCCAGGACACCTGGCCCCGTGTCCCCATATCCCACCAGAAGCCACTAGGTGGGGCTGTGTGGGTCACCTGCCCTTTCCGGATGTTCTTTCCTGTTTCGTGAGGAGGCTGGTGTGGTTCTGAACTTGGGGAAACCAGGGCTTAGGCTCTAAGAAGCCTATCTTCCACACATAACAGCTCACACGACCGTCAACACTGATTCATGAAGTAAGTAAAGTTGGCATTAACGTTATAGAGATGGGCAAAGTGCGCCCCAAACCAAAGCAACTTGCTGAAGGCCCCAGAGCTGCTTGGTGTTGGGCCCAGAGCACACCTTGGTCTCATAACAGCCCTGCCCAGCCCAGGGTCACCCGCACCCTGCAGATGCCGGAGCCCAGCTGGAGCCCAGGAAGGAGTCCTGGTGTGCCGGGCACCTGGACAATGTGTGTTCCAGGGAGGGAGAGGTCCCAAGCGCCTTGGGGCTCTGTGAGCCCGGCCTGCTGGGGCCTGTGTCACCCCAGGCCCTTGCTTGGCCAGAAAACAAGAGTATGCCTCTGGAAACGGCAGCCCTGGGGACAACAGTTACACGTGGCTTTTCCAGGAGTGGAGAGACCCTCCAGAGCCCAGCGAGACGTCCCCCCCAGGCATCGCACAGAAGGTCGAACCTGGGTGTTGGAGCCAGAGACCAGTCAGGAGTGTGGTGCCTCCTGAGCAAGGCAGCTCATTCACCCGTTCTGATTCCCCAGGCTTAAAGCAGAGGCAAGGAACCACTTGGGGGTCAACAGAGGGTGAAATGAGATGCCCTGGCTAAGTGGGTACAGGTCCAGGCCCCACAGTGGACGGCCAGTGGGCACCATGTAGGGCAGTAAGACTGCTGCTTCCTCCCGTTAGAACCCCGTTCCTGCCATCGCCTGGGCCTGGAAACACCATGGGAGTGACTCTGAGCACATCTCAGTGGGCCCCAGAGGAGAACCTGCCTGGTGGAACTGGAAGGCCCCGCTGTCCCTTCCTCCTGAGTCCTCCTGAGCCCCACCCGCCCCTCTACCACCAAGGTGGGCACCCGGGCCAGGTTCCTGGGACTACCCCGGTTTACACCTGCAATCACAGTCATCATTAGGAGCACCCTTGTCACCTCCCAGTGTGCCCTGGTCCTGGATGGCAAGCTCCAGGGTCCCTTCTCCACCGGGTGTCTGTCATGGCAAAGTGCCCTTCACACCCTTGCCAGCCACTCCCCGGGCCTGGAGCTTTGGAAAGCAGAGACCCCACAGAGCCTTCCAGAAAGCCCAGGGGTCCTGCCCCATCCGCCCAGGCCCCCAGCCCCCCAGATGCCTGCTCTGCAGCCCCAGAGCAGATGGCAGACGCGTACCTTTTGGAATCCGGTGGGGTCCCCGGGAGAACTCAGCGTCTGTTGTTTTAGGAAGGAGAGGAGAGGGGGAAACAGGTGAGGTGAGCGAAACACAAGTCCCAACAGGGCTGTGCTCGGCTATCTGTGTGTGTGGGGGGAGATTGGGGGGAGTGGGGGGGCTTCCCTAAGGCGCTGGTCGCCTGCTCGGCCCTGCCACGGGGGATTCTGTTTAATGAGCTTTTTACACACTTGGGCCTGGCCTGCGGGCATGGTCTGGGGAGGCCCTGCCTGGCTGGCCGGGACACTGGCACGTGGCTGGGGCTGGGCTGACACCTAGTGGCAGAAAAACCTGCAGAGCAAGGTTTTAGCTTCTAGGGGCCTCAGCTCCCCTCTGGATGCGGACAGGGTCACTCCGGCAGCCATGGCTGTTGCTGAATGGGGTGACGCAGACAAAGCTCCCAGCATGGTAGGCAACCATGAGGCCATTGCCATGGTTACTGGGAGGCCAGCCTCATGGCAAAGGAGGATGGCCAAATGAGATGACCTAAGTCAAGTGTCCCTCCCCGACCCCAGCTGGGACGAGGATGTGCAGGACAGAACACATGCAGGCTATTGGCCCAGTGAGGCTGGGCCCAGCTGCGGTCCCTCCCTGGGTCCCGTCACCTGAGCATCCTCAGCACCTACCAGCAGGTGGCTGGAGTCCTTGAGCTTGGACTTGTACAGCATCCAGCGGTAACGCAGATCCTCCAGCTCGTCCGAGGTGCCCCTTGCTGGCCCAAGACGAAGAAGATTCTCAAATAGATGCTGACCTGTCGGCACTCGAGCCTCTAGCTCCTAGGGGAGAGGGCAGCATCACGGTGAGGCTTCTAATGGCCCAGACAGCCCACCCCCCTGGTAAGGGCAGGCTGATTGAATTGCCCTCGATAGAGTGGCCCCCGGGGAGGGGAGCACAGAACCAGTAACGTGGGACCCTCATGTGCAAGTGCAAGTCCAGGCCCGGCAACTGCTCTCTGGAATGTTACAGAAAGACCTCCTGTGTGGAAGGGCAGCTGGACTGCCAGCCACTGTGGTCACTTGGCCTGCCATCCTAGGACCAGGTCCTAAAAGGGCTTGTCAGAGGAGTCGCCATCGTTACAAAGGTCACCCCGTCAAACGTGCCTTCCCATCGGCATGATTTCGTTTGGCAGTTGGTGATGGAGGGAGCCAGTTTTTCTATCAAAATTGAGTGCCGAGGACAAACCTCTTCACTCTCAGGACTCCTGAGAGGCCGTGTGATGTGGGGGAGAGACTGGGGCAGGAGCCTGGGTTTAAATCCTGGTTCTGGACCCCGATTGTGCCCCATCTTGTTAGCTATGCAGTATGCGACCATTTGCATCGTTGCTCAGAGCCTGCTAGAATGTGAGTTAGACAAGAGCAAAAGGGTCTCGGGGTGGAACTAAGAGCCATTTCTGATATGGTTGGAGTTGGGGGCGGGGGTGGGAAGTGAGGAGTGGCCAAATCTGAGGTAGGAGGGAAGGGCTTCCTGGTGATGGTCAACTGGATAATTGGGAAAAAACCTGCACCAAGGACATGATATTAAAGACATTTTTTAAAACCATCAAAGGCTTAACGAAAGAGTGAGGCACATCAGGTCAAAACTCAGGCAAGGAGGACTGGGGGTGCAGCTCAGGGGTAGAGCCCTGACCCAGCACATTCGAGGCCCCGGGATCGATCCCTAGCACCGCAAGAAACCAGAAACCCAAAACAACACGAAAGAAACTTCAGAGAAGCAAGCCTGTGTGAGGCCTGTGTTCACCCTTAGGATATCCTCCAATCTGGAAGAAACGGCTGTGAAGCAGGTCTGTGGTGTGGCAATCTCCTCACGGGGTAGGGAGGCGGAGGTCAGACTCTGGGCTGCGTGGAGGTAGACAGAACAACTCCCCCTCTAGCTGAGACGCCTACGGGCTTCACCCTCAGAGCAAAGGTGAGCCAGCAGTAAATCTGGGCCTGGTGTAGACTGGCCGCCCAGCTCCAGGTCATCTTGTAATCCAGGGACCTGCAAGCCTTGGACTTGGGTTCAGTGGTCCCAGAATGACTCAGCCTCCTTCTCAGCAGGAACGACCCCAGAAAAGCCCTCTCTGGAGGAAGAGGGTATCCTAAATCTCAAATTACTCTATCACATATTTTGTCCACCACAACATTCAGCACAGAATACACACAGCCTCACACAGATACAAGGCACTAAGGAGAAGAAGCAGCAGAAGTAAGACACATCAGAACCATTCCTAAGATGCCTTGGGATATTGATGTTATTAGACATATTATAAAACAGCTATGTTTACTGTGTTCAAAGAATTAAAAGACTAGTGTAAACAACTGAGCAAGGATCTGGAAGCTAGCTAGGAAATATGACCCAGCAAATTGTTGAAAGAACCAAAGAGAAGTTCTAGAGTTGATCATTAAAATAACAAAAGTTACACTCAATGGACATGTGTAATAGCTAAAGAGAGAATTAGTAAACTGGAAGACAGGTCAGAAAAAAATATTCAGAATGCAACATGAAGAGACAAAAAGACGGAAAATACACAAGAGAAGCCAAGAGACATGAAGCACAGAGTGAGAAGAAATAATATACGTGTAAATGACATAAGAGAAGGAGAGAAAAAATGCTCCCAAGCAGAGACAATGTTTTAAGAGACAGTGTCAGAGAATATTCCAGAAAGATCTTAAATCATAGAGTCAGGTGTTCAGGTGAATCCTATAAAGGATTAGAAAATAACAAACGTCAGACTCTGGCATGTCATAGTGAGATTTCATAAAAACAAGGAAGAGAAGAGGCAAGCTGAGGTCTGGTGAGAAAGGCCTAGCATGATGACCTTGGGGTCTGAACTTGTTCTGAAATGTTTCCATTAAGTGGACAAGGTCACTCTTGTCCCTGTGGTTCTGGAGGGTCATTCTGGCTGCAGAATGAGCCTTGACCTGGGTAGGTTCCCAACAGGGAGAAGGGAGACCATTTGGGAAGTTAGTTCTACAATCAAGGTGAAAATTACTGCCTAAACCGAGGCACTCGCAGTGGAAACAGAGCCTTCCAAGGAGGCAGACCAAGGAGGATTTGGTGACTACTAGGGTCTGAATTCTTGTCCCTCCCCAAATTCATGTTGAAACTTAACTGCCAAAGTATCAAGAGAACTGAGAGGTGACTAGGCCATGAGGGGGAGTTAACATCACCCCACTTCCTAGCCTAGGCCTCCGAGGGCATGGCCTGCTCCCACTGTCCCCTCCGACCTGCCTCTGCCATGGGAAGCCCGGGCTGCCCCACAGGAGGATAAGATGTGTGGTCCATGTCACTCTCTTCCCCACCAGCCTACTGACCTCCAGAATGAGAGGCACTTGGTTGACCTTCATCTGACAGCAGACACCAGCCCTTGGCCTTCTGAATGGGCAGGAGCCAGGCTGAGCTCAGGGTCCGAATATGAGTTAAATACACAGCTGCTGTTTTCAACTGCAAACTGTTGGGGTTGTATGTTACACAGCAGTTACTAACTGATACAGGTGCCTAGAGACAAGGGTGATATTTCCCAAGTAAGGAATAAGAAAAGGAGGCTGAGTGAATGAAAGCAAGGAAAAGCTCTAAAATATTTGAATCCAAAAAGTTTAAGAAGCGTTAGTTCTACACAAGTGAGAACAGCTCACAAATGACTGTCAGTGCTCCCTGTTAGAGCAAACACATCTATGGGTGCAAAGCCCACGGGCAAGGGGTGGCTTCTGGGGCACAAACCTGCAGCTTCGTCTCTCTGGTCTTCAAGTCCTTGGCGGTGCTGGTTCTCATTGCAATGGTCCGTATGAGCTTGGAGTTTTCTACCTGTAGCCACTGCTCAAAGTTCCTCAGGAGCTGGGGGAAGTCTTCATGGCTGCCTCCTGCTTCCTCCAGCAGATGGGCCTGCAGGAACACACAGGGCCAGAGCTGTGGGGGTGAAAGAGGCCCACTGGCCACATGTCCTGGACACGACTGAGGCAGCGGTGGGGGATGAGGACAGGGAGAGGCCTCAGGGGAGGATCTCTACCCAACATGGCCACATCTAGGTCGGGAGCATGCCTCAGTGTCACCTCTTCGTTCCTAGTGCAAGTCACTGTCACCTCTTACCAGGACAGCTATCCAGCAGTCACCCTTCTACCACTCGTGTACCCTGTGGCTGTGACCTGAGTGATCTGTCTAGAGCACGAGACACCTTCCATATGTGGTGTCACCTCGTGCCTCCCCTGTGTGGCCTGAGAGCCTCGGGCTCTGGCTATTGTGGCCTCCGAAGGTCAAGCTGCCGCTCCTCTCCGAGCCGGAGCCTGCAGGCATGTCTTAGCCCCTGAACCTGGGCTGCCTCCTCTGGGTCTGCGCATGCACGGTGCCCCCTGCCTGGGGTGCCTCTCTCCCTCCTCCCTCACTCCCACTCAGCCTCCAGGGCCCATGCACCCAGGAGGGCTCTCCTGCCCCAGGTCTGGGTCAGGTCCACTCCACCACAAACTCATGGCCCCTCTGCCCATGTCTGCACAGTTTTGTAAGCTCATTTAACTGCCCATGGACCCGTCTTGCTCCTCAAACTGCACTAGAAAGCAGCATGGAGCCTGCTAGAGATGCAGACCGTGGGCCCCAACCAGGCTGCTGGATTAGACCTGCATTATAATCAGGTGCACGTCACAGTCACAAAAACTCTGAGTTGCTTTCTAAGCCAATCCTCGGAGCACAGTGGCACTCAATAAATGTGTTTTGGGAGGATGAAGGAAGGAGTGGGAGAACGAATAATTGGATTTTCTTTTTCTTTTTTGGATGGGGTCTCACTGTGTCGGTCTTGCACTCCTGGGCTCAGGGAGTCCCCTACTTCCGCCTCTACCTAGCTGGAGCAGGTGTGATCACTGCACTGGGCTTTGACGGATTGTTCTTGAAAAACATGGCTCAGTTGTGTAAAGGCAGAAAGAGAAAGTGCTGGTGATACCATGTTAGTTCTTTTCAAAAATATACAGCCAGGGCACAAAGATACCCCCTTCTCCTGTGATCTCAGGTCTAAATCCAAGGCCAGAAGGAAGTCTGTGACCTTGTCACTGTCCTCTCTGCCGGGGAACCATCTAGGGATTCAGAGAGGGAAGGACCAGTCTGGCCCAGGGTTGCCCGCCACCTACCTGAGGCCCCTCTCTACAGTGGGCACCCCTGCTCTTGGGGCCACAGCAGGGACAAGTGAGATGGGGCATGACCAAGGCCTGGGAGCTGGGACCAAAGCCACCCCACCCAGCACTTGGCCCTTCTCCCTGCCAGACACACTCACCCCACGACGATGCCTGGGAACAGGGTCCGTGGGGTTGATGAGATACCCAGACTTCGGGATGTTGTTGGTGAAGACCAGCTTCTTCCCAGTGTCCACCTCTGTACTCTGCAGCTGCTGGCTTCTGATGAGGCTGGGAAGACAAACAACCCCTCAAGGCGGTGACGTGATGGGGAGCCATCGGGGCCCTGGAGAAGTAACAGCCCTGGGCCTCAAGGGTGGCAGGACACTTCTGGGTTTCCCATCAACGATGAGCCAGCAGCCATCCTTCAGGTGTGGCAGATGCTCCTGAGTCTCCCACGTGTCCCGTCTCTTAGTTGCAACCCCCCCTCCCCGGTCACACAGGTGCACATGCTCAGGACACAGATAGGAAACTGAGGCTCACACCAGAGCGGGCTGGAGGCCGACCCCCAGCCAGGGACATCTCAGCTCCCCTGCCCCTGCCAGAATCACCAGGGGTCCCAGGTGTGGGGGGGTGGGCAGGTCCCTGGCACGACGCCTGGCTCAGAGCCCAGGCATCTGCTCGGAGCTCTTCCTGGTGGCAAGGGGGCACTGTCCCAGACAAGGCTCAGAGCCAGCGAGGGCCTCTCACCTCAGTAGGTGCTCCTCCAGCAGCCTCAGGGCCCGCCAAGCCTCCGCCAGCTCCCGCAGCTCCGCCTGGACCAAGGCCGCCCCCTCAGGAGAAGACTTCTCCATCACCAGCTGGCCGTGCGCCTCGACCAGGGGCAGCTGGGCCTCCTTCTCAGGGAGGTCAGCCAGCAGCCTCTGGAGGACACGGGGGACACACACACAGTGAGGTCCTTCTTGGGGAGGTCTCTGCTTCCCACTGTGGGGGCTTCAGCCAGAGAGGCTGCCTTTGGGGACGCAGGTGAGGAAGTCACCCCCTTACCTCCACCTCGGCCTCTCGGGACGCAGCATCCCACGGGCCCACGTCCCGCTGATGTGACTCCAGCAGCTGTGTGACCACAGTGACCCACTGCCGCAGCTCCTGCAGCTGGTGGCTGAAGGTGCAGTGCTCCCGCACGCTCTGCCGACACCTGTCCACAAGGTCCTGCAGCACAGCCGGAGGCCAGGGCACTGAGCGCTGGGCCAGGCAGAGACCAGGCACCCCCCAACCCTGCAGGACCCCAGACCGCCTGGGCCCTGGCTCCTCCCACAGCCAGACAGACACCACAGGCTGGTCCTCCCTCGGCACGGCACAAGGACCCCCAAAGATCAAGTCTGGTTCAAAACGCCTCCTGGCCTGTCTCCTATAGAAACAGCCAAGGGCAGGTGGGGCTGGTGTGAATGGGCACAAGCACTTTTGCTCAAAGGAGTGTTCTGGAGCAGCAAGAATGGGCACGCTGCATCAGGGCAACCTTACGGATGAACCTACAACCACGCTGTGGGGGGCTAGCACACACACAGTATGAGCATCTGTGTGGTTCCGTCAGGCAAGCCTAACTGACGCTGGGTCCAGTCTGAGGTCAGGAGCTGGCAGTGACTGGCGGGCGTGAGGGAGGCTGGCGTTGCTCTGGGTTTTTTCTGGGTGCTGCTGAATCAGGTCCGTTTAATTTAAGATTCCGCCGAGGTGCCCCGTAAGACATTCACTTTTCTGGATAGGACTGAACTTCAACAACAGGTTTTCAAACAGTCTTGCTTTTTTCTCCTTCCTGAGGCCTGTTTCCTGGGAAACTCAGGCCTTGGAGGCTGGAACCTTGTTCTTCTCTGTCTCCAGGAAAGATGGCACTGAACACAGAAGGATGGCCATTTTCCATGCTCCTGGTCACCCTGCCTGGGACCCTTTGAGCACCTTCTTCATCTCACTATGAGCCAGTCAGACTCCGGGGCCTACTGTCCCCTTTCCTGCTGTGTCTCCCAGCTTAGGGTCTCATTACGTTGGGCCACCAAAGGCCCTGCCTTCCTGCGTTCCACAAACGCGGGCTGGCCCTGCAAGGTTCCAGGACCATGCCAGGGGATGGGGACCCAGAGAGGGGCTGGGCATTCCGTGGGCCTCCAGGGGGTGTGGAGCCTCTGTCCTTGAGGTCCATCAGCAAGGGCGAAATGTTACCTAAAACCCCACTTCTCCTAGTTCTCACCACCAAATGCCTTCAATGGCTCCCTACTGCATAGAGCTGGGACCTACCCCTGGGAGACGGGAAGATCACTGTCTGTGGGGGGAGGCCACTTTAAAACTCACTAGACTTAACAAGCACTGAACATCCAAATGACAGGAGGGGCGGTTTCCCCTTAAATGACTATGTAAACTGTAAATAAAGAAACTCGGTGGAATTGGACTGTCGCAGTCTGCAGTCCCTAGCTCCTGACTTCTGAGCAACCTCGCTCACCGACTGGATGTGGGTACCGGAGCTGACTTCGGCTGCGGGATGGTTTCCTGTCTCTCGATGCCCCCTCCCTTGACCTTGAGACCACAAGCTGCTCCTGGGTTAGGCAGATTCCATGCGTCACCTGCACCGTGGGTCTCTATAGGTGGTGCTGTGCTCCCTGGAGACCCCTGGAGTGTCTGGCTCAATGCAGATGCCGGCCTCTCCAGGGACATGTCCCTGGTGTAAAAGGATGGGACACTGCACTTTGGCTTGATCACTTTTTATCACATTCCAGAAAACCGCATCACAGGAGGCCGAGCAGGCACCACCACGGATGGGGCACCTGTGGCCGTGACCTGGAGGGAGCGTTTACGGACCATCTCCTTGTGTCTTGATGTAGCCACCTGGGAGCATTTAAGCATCAAAGGACACTATTTGATTATAACTATATTAAAAAAAAATCTCTCTTATATTCTAGAAAGTTCTAAATTGTCTGTGAGGGGAACTCACATTATCTATGGGCTGGAGGTTGTAAAGAGGGCATTGAGCAGGGTGGGGTGGACAGGAGAACCTGCCTCACACTGTTTTCTTGAGATGTGGCTGTCCGACACCAGCTCGCGGCCTTGGGACTCGACACAAAGGCAGACCCAGGCCTCCACCTGAAGGAATCAGCGCCCAAGTGGGGCTGGAGTCTGCGTTTCCACTTGTCCATTGGGGCCAGTTTGGAAGGAGTCTCGCCTGCGCCACACACGCAAGTGTCCAGGCGGCCACTAGAGGGCACTGCAGACAAGGTTCTGCGGCCCCGGGGCTCAGGGCTCCCTTTGCAAAGGCCTCTGCGCGCAGGCTGCTGGGGTCGCAGCAGCTCTTCCCCCTCGTGGCCCTTAGCTCAATACCGAGTGGAGCCTTTACTTGCTTCTTGCTGATTCATCTGCATCTACCCAATTAGAACGACTAGAACGTCATCCCCAAGGGAGACGATGCCTTGGCCCTCTCCTTCGGGCTGCTGCGTTCGCAGGCCTAGTGCAGCGCCCCCGTGCGGAGGCCTCAGTACTCACCTGTCCCAGGAAGCAGGGAGGGAAGGGATGGACGGAAGGAAAGAGGGAGAAAGGCCCCAAGAGCCCAGGATTCTTGGGTGCCACTCAGGCTCCTCTGACGGCCTTACCTCCAGGGGCCTCTGCAGGGCCTGGTGGTCAGAAGTAAGCTGGTCCATCTTGTGCTGGTGGTTGGGATTCCCCTGGACAAGAGGCTGCATGGCTTCCATCTGCAGGCCCAGCTCCAGCCCCTCTTCCTGCAGCCCCTGCCGTGGAGAAGCGGGGGCTGAGCCTCCTCCCTGCCCCTCACTGTTGAGGCTGATCAGGGCGGAGGTGGGGGTCAGCTCGGAGGGAGGGCCTGGGGTGGGGGCTGTCCAGGATACAGGGCTCCCCACACCAGCAGATGCACCACATCAGGTCTGGTCTCATAGGCCCAGCTCAGGGCTGATGAAAGATTTAAATCAGTCCAAAACATTCTGGGACATCATGAAAATGAACTCAGTAAAAGCCCAGAGGACATCATGGGGGACAAGATCACTTGGACTTTCACTTGATGGCCACCTCTCCTTATGAAGAACCACACCCCGATTTCAGGTTTCGAGACTCAAACGCACCATGCGAGTCTCTTGCAGAGAACTCTCACTCTATATATGAGCTGTCCTTGGGTTCTAAAGATGATCTTTGGATCACATGCATTTTCAAAACCAGCAAGCTCCTTATCCAGCCAACCAACCGTTATCAACGATCAGCGTGTGGGTTAAAATGCATACTCTCAATCTCAGGATTGTGTTAGTTAACTGAAGGCCTCTGGACCCATTAGGGATAGTTAGCAATGCAAATTTAAAAACAAATACCAATGTTAGGCTTTGGAACTGAGAGATAAATAATTATGATTTTGTTAGGCTTCAGAATCTGCAGTTTGAAGGTGCTAAAGGCCCTGGTGAGGCCAGGAACCATCAGATAAATAAAAGGCCCTATTGAGGCCAGGAACCATCAGATAAAGAAGCAGAAATTAATTCCATTAAGACAAAAAGTCAGATCTCAAGTAAGGTGTAAATCTCTGGCTCAAGCTGGCTCTGGCTTTGCTGGTTACTAGAAGAGGAGGAACTGCTTTTATGCACAAAAAAGTCAACCCTGTGAGGGTTGACTTGGCCCTACATACCCCTTACCTGCAACCTCAAGAGCTGGGCCTGTTTTCCAGGAAGGTCCCGTTGAAGCCCTTTCTCGGCTTGGATTCTAACTTGGAGGTCTAAGAGCTTCCTCTGTAGGGGTTCAAAAGCAGCCCCAAAGTCCTTGTGCTGATCAAGCAAACTCTGCAGAGACAGAATGGGCAGCTGCGAATTAAGAGCTTCCCTCGGGGGCACCTTGTTATAGACCTGGCACCCAAAGAAGGCCTGGCTCCTCCTCAGCACATTCTTGCTCCAGAAAACCTTCTTGGAGCCTTGCTGGGGTTGGGTGCCTCTTCTTAGGGTCCCCGTGATGTCCTTGCATAACACTTTGGCCACGTCCCTCTAGAACAGGGGCTGGGAAACCCCTCCCCAAATCCCACCAGAGGCTGTTTACGTCGGCAAAGTGCTGCTGGACACAGCCGCATCCCTTTATTTACCACTGAGGCCCCGGGAAGCCCACCCTGCATATGCTGACCAGGTCACCACTGGCTCACAGACAGCCTTTGGACATCTCCTGGGGATCGTCCATTTGTTGGTTTCCATCACCAAGTTGTGAATGTTTGGGGATGAACTCTCGGCTTCCTTTCTTTGTCTCCCCAGCTCCTAAAACCCTGCCTGGCCCTACTAATGGAGGCAGAGAACACAGGAGGTGAGATAGCAGCAGGCTTGGGGTCAGGCCGCGTGGGGTATGTCCTGGCCCTGCCACCCTGGCCAAGAGCCACCACTGAGTTTCCTCATCGGTAAAACAGGGGGAAGAATGGCAGGTCCTCGTGGGTACCGTGGGTTAGATAAGATCAGAGGGTGACGCTCTGAGCAGGTGCCCGGCCACAGACACTGCCCCGCGCCTCGGAGCTGTAGAAGGGGACAGTCAGCGTGTCACTAGCGACACCAGCCTCCAGCACCATGGTGGCTTAATGTTTCCAAGTGCTCTCACCTGCGCTGGTCCCGCCACCAGCTCTCTGTGGTATAAGATAGTTCACTCTGATTGCAGTGTAGGGAGGGGACAGACAGGTGGCTAGGGAACCAGTTAGAGGGATCCTGGGAGAATCCTACCCCGTTTATGCAGGAGGAGCCTGAGAGGGTGAGGGACAGAAGGATTCGTCCAGGCCACAGCAGTGAACGGCCGCGGTGAGCTTGGAACACCGTGAGGGCCACTCCCGCCTGGCCAGGCCCAGTGCCGAGACGACGCCGCCCCTCACCTGCAGCTTGCTCTTCCTCTGCAGGAGGCTGTTATGCAGCAGGTCCCTGTCCCTCACGGAACTCGCCACCTGCTCCAGGAGGGCGCTGGCTTGCTCTGGGCCAAAGATGCTGCTCAGCAGGTCCGTCTTCAGCTGCAGCATCGCCAGCTGCTCTTTGAGGCGGGAGCTTTCTGCCAGGGCCGCCTGCGGGTGACAGGACCCCCCGTGAAGCTCAGCAGAGGGCCAGGAGCACCCGGTCCCGGCGCTGCCCAGAAGGAAGGGGCGCCTCTGTGCAGGTGTCCCGGAGGCAGAGACCCAAACAGAAGCCAGAACTTCAGGGTCAAGTCCGAGTCTTCTCCCAACCACCCCACACCACCCACCTGTCACCAAAGCCGAGTGATAGTTCCTCCTCCCCATCTCAGAAATCTGCCACCGAGGGCCGCACACCTGGACCATGTGGCTCCCACCTGCCTGTGGCCTCCCAGTGGGCGCCGGGACTTCCCCGAACCAGCCTGACCTCTAGACAGAGGGCCTCCCCCAGCAGTGTTGTGAGAGGCCATGACATGGGAAGGCAGGAGGCTGTCCGGAGGGGTCGCTCCTCGGTGGACTTCTGATGTGCAGGGGACCAGGCAGAGAGGGGACCTGAGGGGACTCGGAAGCCACCTCAGAGGATGGCAGCTGGCCTCCAGGACACCTGCACCCTGCACAGCCAGGCCCTGCCTGCTCCAGGAGACCTGCCCTGACCATGCGCCTGGGAGTTCTGGAAGCCAGAGGTCCCCGTGTTATACCTGGTGATGTTATTGACACCCCCTCCCGGACCTGAGACCCTGAGCGAGGTGTGGGGCTGGGGCTGGACCAAGCCCTCAGGCCAGATTGGCAGGTGCAATTCCGAGGTGGAAGCGCTGGGTGGTCAGTGCTGGCTGGGGACATCAGAGAGGGCTCCTTGGAGGAGCAGGTGCTGATGTCAGCCCCAAAGGCAACAGGCTGGCAAGAGAAGAGGGACTCAGCCATGCTGGCACGACCTGCAGATAAGGGCGCCCGGCCTGTGGCAAGCCTCACAAGGCTGCCCAGCAACACAGCCACGCCCCTGTGTTCACGGCGTCCAGAGGCTGCGTGGCAGGCGTTAAGGGCACCTGAGTTTGGATTCCGTGCTCACTGGGAGGCCGTGGGCAGTTCTGAGCCTCCCTTTCCTCTTTTGTAGAACCTGCAGGGACGTGCCCCGTCCTGGGGCTGGGACGGGGCTGGAAGGAGCCTTTGGGTGCCCCACACGCAGAGCACACAGAAGCTCAGCTCTCCCCGGCTCCCGCCACTGACCAGCTGGGATGCGCCCCGTTGTGTCTCCCCAAAAAAGATGCAGTCAAGTCTGAGTGTTCCCCTCAGTCCCTCGGAATGTGATCTCAGCTTAAAATGGGGTCTGTACAGAGTTAAGATAAGGTCATTAGGGCGGGCTGTCACCCAGGGCGGCCAGGGTCTCGTACCAAGGGGAGCTTTGAACGTGGACATTCGCAGAAGGAAGGTGGGGAGGGGGTGGCCGTGTGTCAGTGGGCGGAGATCGGGAGACTGTCTCTACCAGGACGTCAGGGATCTCAGGCAGGGAAGGAGCCTCCTCAGAGGCTTCAGGGGGAGCACGGCCCAGCCTACCCTTGTTCTGGGTCTGGTGCTTCATGACAGTCCTCAGGAAGCCACTTCACCAGCCAGAAACCCGCAGATGCGCAGGACATTCTCAGGCTAAAGCCAGAAGCTGAGCCAGGACAACTGAAGCTGGCCACTCAAGCCACACCTGCTAAAGGAACCCCTCCCTCCAGGGGGTGGCACGGGGGGGTGGGGGCACATGGAAGGCACCAAACAGAACTCCTGAGCTCCTGGCTCCCCCTGCTCCCGCCAGTGGACCTGGGCTGGGAGTCCTGGGTCACCCTGGAGAGACTCCACTTGTGCCCCCTGCCTGGCAGAGGCCCTGTTTGCTTTCTACCCTGGTGGAAGGAGGATCCTGGCAGAGCAGGAGAGCGCTGGGCGGAGTCGGCAGCCTGAGGCGGGGCCTGGCCCTGTCCATTGAGTGTCTGAGACCTTGAGCAAGGGGCTGCCCTCTCCGGGACCTGGCTCCCCTAAACAGCCCAGCAACAATAATAAAATCAGTTCTTCCACCTCACAGAGATGTTTCTAGAACCTGGGTGAAAACAGACGAGGACATCAGACAGGAGCCCTGTGCCCACTGCTCCCGCCCAGCCCGGCCTCCCTGGAGAGGCCTGACCTCGGCCTCCACGGAGCAGCCTGACGGGAACAGCTCTCTAACCTCTCCCTGGCTCCAGCCAATCTCTCCTCTGCAAAACGAGATGCATCATGGTAAAAATAGAAACACATTTTATACGTGAATATCCAACACATACTAATTATGACAACATGGCTTTGGGAGCAGCCTAACTCTCTAATGGTGGATGTGCTAAATCACGAGTATTTCCAAAGTGGAAAGTCTCACGGCTGCTGCAGAAGATCACTTTTATTTCAACTGTTTTAAATGTTGCTGAGAAAAAAAAAAAAACAAATGTGTGCAGTGAGAATACCAGAGACACGGGCCCAACTACACAAAAATTGTAATTAATTAGTTAAACTTTCTGCCTGTCGGGGATCATGTCCCATGGAAAAAATCTAGATGGATCCCACCAGATTCACCCAGCACCAAGGTTTATGGTGCACAAGAAATTCACTGACGAGTATCTCAGAAAGATGACCACGGAGCCCTTGGAAGGAAGGGCCGTGCTCTGTACTCAAAAACTAGGGAGACAGAAAACAGAGTTGTGTGGCAACACGAGCCCCAAATGGAAAGTCCTCTGCAGCTCCACGCCGTGGGCCGTGGTCTAGGGTCAAGAAACGCCCTCCAGGGCGGATACCTAGAGGGACGGGAAAAGTGCTAGAGATAGTGTCCCCACAGGTCAACGGTGGCGCTACGGCCTGTGGCCTCCTGTTCTCTGGCAGGTAGGCCTTCTACAGTCAGAAGGAACATGAGTGTGAAAAGGAGGCCGACACCCGCCACATCTTTGTGTCCCTTTCCACTCTACCCGTCTACGACTGGGGACAAAAGCATTCCGTGGACTTCAGAGCTCAGTGACGGCAGAGAGCAGTGTTGACAGGTGACCCTCCGTCTCTGGTGGACAGCACTGACCGTGGCAGCCGCTGCCGGCTGCTCACCCCACGGCCTTTCCTCCTCCCTCACCCAGTAGCCGGCATGTTGGCTGGGTGACCAAGTGCCCACCTGGATGCCCGGGTTATTGGGACCATGGCCACAGGCCAGTCCCAGGGATCCCATCATCCTCCGCCAGTGATTGGTCCAGGGATGGTCATGTGACTTTGAGGGACCAGTGAGATGTGAGAGAAGCTGCTGGAACTCCTGGGATGGGCCTCCCTGTTGATAGTGAAGTGGTGACGGAAGGAGCCCTGGGCCCCCACAGTTCCCTCCTGCAACAGGTGTTGCTTGTGGGGGATGCGTGTTGGGGTGGTGGCAGCCATTTTGGAGCCAGAAGGAGAAACACCACCAGGAGCTAGGTAGAGCCTGGGTCCTTGATGACACTCAGTCCTAAAATCAGCCTGTGTTTTAACGGCCACTGGGCAGGTTTTGTCACTTGTAGCCACAGTGAAGGCAATGGCCTGACAACGCTGCTTTCTCACAGAACGGCTAATGTTCCACAGAGGACGGCCTATGGAGGGGTCCAGAAGGAAAGGGGAGCTACCTCTGGGTGGGAGAGGGTCAGTGGGGCGTCCTGGGGTCATCCCAGGCTTCGCCTCCTACCCAAGTTTGAGGATGACCTGAATCACAGATGACAACATGACATTCCCTGTGCACTAGGTCTTGCCCAAGCAGTGAGCTGGAGCCCGTGTCTGTGGGGCCAGGGACACACCCGTCCCCAGGACGGTGGCTGACGCGCCCCACGCTCAGCCAGCAGCCTCCCAGCCACAGAAGCCGGCCCTCCTGGCGCAGTTACCTCGATCTGGGGCAGGAAGGTGTGGATGGAGGGCAGGTCTGGCAGGCTGGCGGTGACCCCCAGGAGCCGCTGGGCCAGGGCCCTCCACAGCTGCAGGCCCTGCAGGGGACGCTGGAAGCCCTGCCACAGCTCCACCCCCGTGGCGTTGCGGAGCTTGGTGCTCTTCCCCTTCATGCTGCGAGGACCAAGATAGAGAAAGCGGGGTCAGCTCCGGGTGAGGTCCCGCCGGACCCCCAGGGAGCCCAGGAGCACTGGCTCAGGGTGGGCCCTCTCCCTCCCGGGGGCTGCAGGGAGCGTCTGCAGCAATGGGCACGAGGTACAGGGGAAGGGACTCTGGGTAACGTGGAAGGGCCTCAGCACGTGCTCAGGTCTTCCTGGGCACAGACCCCAGGGCTCCCGGGGCCTCTGCGCTTGTACATAAATGAGGCGTGTGAGCGTCCTCCGAGTCCAGAGGAGGGGTGGACGACCGGGAGTCTCAAGTCTGGCAGACGAGTCTGCGATCTAGTTGGCTCATCCTTGAGCCTCAGTTTCTTCACCTGACAAATGGGGAACACGGTGCCCCCAAAACACTTGTGAGTGCTAAGTGAGATAATACACAGAGACGTCTCCTGGGAAGAGAGGCCTGGCCCTCCCACTGAGGATAAATCAATAACAGCAAAAGCTTGGTCTAATTTTAAAAATGAGCAAAAAACAGGAATGGGGGTTTAGCGTCCAGGGCTCCTTTGACCCCGAGGGCTTTGCCCATCTGTGATAAAATGGCTGCAAAATTGAGCTGGGCTTTTGACACTCCCCCAAAGAGTGGGGAGTAAAGTCCACCAAGGGCGGCAGGTTCTGAAAACCTCACCCACCCTAGAGCTGGGCCTCAAGGTCCACGCTGTCAGGACAAGAGGGCACAGCAGGCGAGCCAGCAGCCAACCTCCTGGCCAGGGGCCTGCAAGCCGCAAGGTAAACCGTGAAGACCTGAGACGGGCACTGCCCCAGCAGAGGCAATCAGAACCCTCCGTTAACAGTCCAGCACCCCAGGCCCAGCTCATTTCTGGGAGCACGTTTCAAATCCAAGGTCCAGCTCCCAGACAGAGAGGTGCAGCCCTGGAAAGCTCAAGGACATAAACCCACCCCCCACCCTGGAGCACCTCACACAGGACCCAGGCCGTGATCTTGATTCTAGACAGGGGGACCTGAGCACAGCGGTGGGAGGAGAGACACCGCAAGCTGGACCCCTGCTCTGCCTCTGAGGGAGCCCGTACCCAGCAGAGGTGTGCGGCCGCTGTGCTGTGTTAGCACGTCTCGGGGGGAAAGAGGGCCACACCCCACATTTCCACGCTGCTTCAGGCCTCAGAGGGAAGCCATCTCCACTCCAGGCTCTGGCCACCGGCTAAGGGACAGGCAGAGGCTGGTCTGAAGATGCTCTTGAGGTCCCAGAGGGGCCAGAGGCAGGGGACTGCTGTTGACCTATTGAGTAGCCCTCCCTTGGGCCACTGCGTGGTGAACCCTTCCCGATGTTAACTGGCGTGAAGAGACTTGACGGAATGGGCGCCTGGGCTGCCCACCAAGGACAGAAACAAAGTCCAGGCCTCTTTTAGGAGCGAAACCCAGAACAGACCTAGAGGGCCCAGCGCCGGAGCTGAGGGAGGACCCGCAGCAGCTGGTCACTCAGCGGGAGGCGGGTGCACCACAGTCCTGCCACCCTGGGCTCCCCGGGTACCTCTGGTACTCCTGGATGGCGGCCACCACGCTGTCGGAGAGCGGCTGCAGGTCGGGGAAGGCCACGAGGTCCTTCAGCTGGGCCTGTAGCCAGGCCACCCGGGGCTCCTCGGAGGCCAGCGCTGCCCGTGTTGCCTGCAGGACAGGATGACACCCCAGGGTGGATGAGGCTCCTCAAGGGAATGGCCACAGGTCGCAGGGGGCTGAGCACAGGCCAGTGAGTGGCGCCAGATTGGAGGAGCCTGTCACCGAGGGCAGGGGCTGGGGCCCGTCAGCTCATTCCTAGGGCTGGCCTTTCCTCTCTGAGCTGCAGTTCTTACTGTCACCTGCCTCTGAACATTGTGGTGGCAGTGCCAGCTCCTCATGCACAAACACCCAGGACAGAGGGCACGCCGTCCCCTGCAGAGCGCCCCAGGTGCCCCATCCACCCAAGCCTCACCACCAGCCTGGAGAGAGGCTGGCCCATGTTCTACACAAGGACACTTGGGCTTAGCGGTTTGGACGGTTGTGAAACCTGCAAACTGTGTGCCTAACGGCTGGGCCACTTCGTCAGCACAAAATGGAGCGTGCACCACAGGGTGCTCTGTGAATCTCTACTTCTATGGACGGACCACCAGAAAGTGCGTGTGGTGACCATGCTCAAATCGCTTCACCTCACTGTGATCAGCCCCTCCAGAGGCTGCCTTTTCCTGCTGGCTGGGGACATTGGAATTTGACCTTGACCTACAGAACTCAAGCCCCTCTGGGCTCCTGCTCAGGAGGAGGCAGGGTGGGGTGGTAGAGAGCACTTTGGGGCTCGGGAGCAACTCAGGGCAGGCCTGAACACTGTCCCATAGGATACAAGGGGCATGCTCCCACCAGCCACAGGGGACAGTGGTACTGACCAGGCACTCAGGGCAAATCAGGGGCCCAGGGCGGCTGCCACCCAGGCTCCCAGAGGCAGCCCTGTGCTTCTGCCCTCCTGAGCTGACCTCAGAACCTCCTTGCACAGGGATGGACACACGGGCAGCCCCAGTTAGGCTTAGTCACAGGGAATCCTCGGGAACAGGATCAAAGGAAGGAAGCTCTGGGAGGGATTCTAGGAGACGCTCGGGTGATGTGGGCCACTAGTGGGCAGCGGGGCTAGTGGGGAGCCTGCCTTTGTGGCAGATGCAATTCCAAAGGCTCTGTCATTTCCCCCAGTTCACAGGCAACCGAGGCTAAAGCAATTCTCCCAAAGCCATCCCAAAAGCGAGGGGAGGAAGCAGGGCTGATCCCAGGAGGTCTGGCCCCAGAGTCTCCCGGCCCTAACCCTGGACCACAGCACCTTCTGCTCACGCGGAGGGGAAACAGTTCCCTTGCAGGAAGATGATCGCTGCAGTGTGACCTGGTCTGCCACAGGACTGAATCTCAAGAAAGCCGAAAGAGTGCATGCCCTTGGTCACTGCCTGCTACTACCTCCAAAAATATTTTTGTCTAGAAGGAGGGGAGGCCGATGCATTTGGAAGATGCTGTGGATGGATCTTGAGGAGATGAGACCGGGAAATCCCTAGGTCCTTGGGGAAGGGGCGTGCTCTTGGGGAGGACTCTGGGGCCCCAGTCTCTTCCTCTTCCTGACTCATGAGATGAGCTCTTGGTATGAGCCAGGGGTTCACAGAAATGGGGCCACTAGATCATGGACTGGAGCCTTCAGAACCATGAACCAAAGCAAACCTTTTTATAAGTGAATTGCCTCAGGTATTCTGTGATATGACAGGATGGTGACGAACACATCTCCTGAGTGTATAGGAGCAGGGTGTCCTCTGATTGGGTCTGGAGTCCACCCCACCATCCTCCATTTGGCCTCCCCAGACTCCCCCACTGCTGTGTCTGTCACTCGTCATGTCTCCATTACAAGCTTTTCTTTCTGTTGTAACAGCCTGTTCTCTACTGAGATGTCCACCCCAAGCCCACCAAGGGAGGGCTCTGAGGCCCTGTCTACCTCTGGTGTTTACTCTCTAGCTCACCATGTGACCTTGGGAATGGTGGTGGTGGGGGATTCTCTCTGGGCTTCAGTTTCCTCATCTGGAAAATGGGGGTGAACACCCATTTGTCCTCTACCCCTCCAGGAAGGTACCAGAGACCCAGGAAGCCAAAGGGAGTGTGCGTAAGGCTTGGTGGCTTTTCTGTCCCACGGAGGAGCTCCGAGTGGCGACCCCCAGGCTCACACACCTGGACCGCTCCAGGGCTTGGCCAAACACCACTCACCGAGTACAGCCTCCAGCGGGCCACCAGCTCGTCCTCGGTCCCTGCCTCCTTCCCCGCAGGCTCCAGGCCCTCCTGGGCCAGCCTCTGAAGTCCCTTCTTGAACTCTCCAAGCTCGGCCTCCAGCAGCCCAATCTGCCGCTCACAGGCCCCCCTGGACGAGAGCAGTCCCTGCAGCCGCTCCTCCTCCTCCTCCCAGAGGCCGCGCAGCTTCTCCAGGACCTTCCGCATCTCCTCCAGTTCTTCCAAGATCTTCTCCGCGCCCAGAGGAGAGGTGTTCTGAATGACGCCCTCGGACTGCTCCTGCAGCCTCCTCAGAGACTCCTCGCCCCGGGGGAAATCCTTGGCGATGTCCTGAAGCGGGAAGGGCAGGGGGAAAGCAGACCTGGGATGCCACGCGGGCACTCATCCCTGGATTCCTGGGTTCGGGCTGCCCAGGTGGACTCTGCCCCAGGATGGGCAGCAGGGTGAGGACCTGATTCCCTCCCAAGCCCTTCTCAAGCCTTTGATTAGGTCAAGGAGAAAGTCGGTTGGGTGGGTGCTTCTCTGACTTAGCACTTTGGGGCACTGGTCCATCTTTTTAAGGCACAGAGCCATTGACAGACAGCACTGTGGGGACAGAGAGAACCACTCAGTTTCACTGTGTTGATATAATGAATGGTGCTGGGTTTCCATTTATGACAATGTGTTTTTTTTCTGAATAACTTTCATCAACATTTTAAAAGGTGAGTCCATTAAATACAAATACGAACGAAACACACCCATCAGGTGCCACATGGCTCTTGAATTATTGAGGATGACCTGCCCACTCACTTAGCAGAGGGAGCCGGGGTCTCTCCAGGGACATGCAGTCACAAAGGCCAGCGTCTCTGGACTGAGGGACCAAGGTCCACCCAGGGCTCTTCACCTGGGCACTACTGACATGAGTGGCTGGGTCATCCCCTGCTGCAGAGCTGTCCTGGTCATTGGAGGGTGTTTAGCAGCATCCCTGATCTCAGCTCACCCACCCCCAGTTGTGACAAATAAAAGTGTGTCTGGACATTGCCACATGCCTGCCTTCAAACCCACGGGTCTAGACCACGCTGCTGTGGTCCTGCGTGTCCAAAAATGGCCCCTGGCTCCCGGACTTCTGTGAAGCAGCCAGACCCCCAGCGTTTCGCGCTGGATGCCTTGCTCCTGCTCAGGGCAGGCAGGCTCTGTGCCCAGGCGCTGCCCTGTTAACTGTAACTCAGAACCTGCCGCCGGGGGGCGCTCCCTCCGAGGCGTCCGGGGCCTCGGGCTGGGACGTACCTGCAGCGCTGAGAGGCGGAGCGTGGCCGGCAACGCGCAGCCCCGCCCCATGCAGCCGTGCACCTTCTCCACCACGGCCCTCAGCCACAGCTGGAACTCCTCCACGCTCGCCTGGTACTGCTCGTGCTCCTGGGCCACCCGCTCCAGCACGTGCACCCGGTCCTGCGGGAGGGGGAACCTGCTGTGAGGGGCCCCGTCTGGCTGTCCCTGCCTTTAACTCTAGTGCTGGTGTTCTTTGCTGCTGTGTCCTAGGAATGGCACTCAACACCTGGGGCTTGGTGACAACAAGGACAACACTCCCCCAGAACACTGTCCCTTCCAGGGCTCAGCACCATGGTGACCCGCTAAGAGCTTCACATACTCAAGCTCCTTGAACTCTCCTGGCGTCACCATGGTGCTCAGTACTGGAAGGGACAGTGTTCCGGGGGAGTGATGTCCTTGTGATTATTCAGCACTGGAAGGGACAGTGTTCCGGGGGGAGTGATGTCCTTGTGATTATTCAGGTTTGACAGATGAGGACATTGAGCCTCAGAGAGGTGAAAGGACTTGCCCAAGGTCGCCAGGCTCAGACAGTGGGAAGGCAAACCTGGTGGCAACACAGGGCCAACAGGCAGTTCTAGCCCAATACACCATGTCTTCAGGGTGTGCCACAAATGCAGGCTGCCCCCTTCTCCATGGGCTAGAATCTGACCTTCAGCCAGTCCCACTGAAGGTCTAACGCCCCAGAGGCAGGATAGTTGATACTTGGGGAAATGACAGTATCCCTGCTGTGAGACCTACTGTGCTCTTAGAGACTGTTCTTTAGACATTCCCTGATCACAGTGCTGTCTCCTTAAGCCCCTCCATGGCTCTCTACTGTCCCAGGCTTAAATGCAAGTTATAAATTCTGGCATCCCAAGACAGGTCCTTGGCATGAGGCTCTGTGGTCCAGTGGTCAAGGCCCTGGGCCAGGGAGCCCACTGCCTGTGGCTGGAACCTTGGCATGTAATGGACTCCTGTATGCCCAAGTCTCTTCCTTCCTAACAACCCTATTGGGGTGCAGGGAGATGAAATGAGCCAGGGCTTGTGCCACTCTAAGGACAGTGCCCATCAGCGAGGAAGCACTTGGTAACCATGAGTCATAGTTTACTATCCCCTGCTTCCCAGGGCTTCTTCTGGCACAGTACACAGCACCACCTGGCAGAGCTGACCCCAGGGCCCTGCCTTCTTTCTCTGAAGCTCTGCCCACTACCCTGGGAGCCCAGGGTATTTCCAAAACACGAGGATGCAACTCTAGCCCAGCACCCCTCCATCAGGTTCTACCTTCAGGGGGACCAGGAGATCACTACAGACAACGCTGCCCCACTATGTCATCTAGCTCAGGGCCGGCTCTAGGTGTGCCTCCTGACAGGAAGAGCAGACCCTGGGTGTCAGCCATCAAAGGGACTTTCCAGGGACAGTCAAGAGAAGGGAAAAGACAGCGGCTCGTTCCATAGTGTGACTGGAACTTACGCATTATCTTCTTTAACATGATGCCACAAAACCTCTCTCCTGCCACTGTCCAAACTAGAGTCAGGAGGTCACGCAACTCTTGACAGAATCAAGATTCAAGCCTCAAGTGTCAGACCCCAAATCACTGCTCGCGTGAGGCCTGGCAGACTTTCTATCAAGGGCTGCACGGCATGGGGTCTAGCTTTGCCCTCCGCCTGATTTCTGTTGCAATCCGCCAGCCACATAACGGCCACTTCTGTTGTAGGACAAGAGCAATCTTAGCCAGCGTGTCAAGGATGACATGTTCCAACACAGCTTTCATTTTGGATAGTAAAGTTGGGATTTCATGCCATTTTGCCATCACGAAACATTCAGCTTTTAACTTCTCCCAACCATTTAAAAATGTGGAAACCCCCGCCAGCTGCCAGGGCAGACACAAGCAGGGGCGGGGCTGGATTTGGCACAAGGACTGAAGTTTGCTGACCTGGGCTTTTCATCCTGGAGAGAGGCCACGTCCAGGGGGCCCCTGCTTGCCATGAGGCTAAGTCAGAAGCTCTCAACTGGGAAGAGAAACAGACAAGTGGACCGGAAAAACGTCCCCAGCGGCTTGTGTAAGCTCCCTCTCCTTTGAGAGGCTTCTCACCAAACCTAGAAACACCGATCCATTTAACCCTCTGTGACAACCATCACGAGGGGAGAAAACCCCCCATTTTAGAGACGGAGACTCCCAGGCTTCAGACCAAGCTTCTCAGGGAAGAACTGAGCGAGTTCTCTCAAAACAAGTGCCTGTATCCCAAAGTGGACCCTTGGTAGGAACCGTCCCCTGCAGCCGTGGGGAGGGTGCTAGAACCTGGCCGGTTCCCCAAGCCCCGAGGGACTGTTGGCATCCATCAGAACCCCCGCCCAGCTCCCCCATTCCCAGGGAAGGTTCATCTGTAAACACCGTGGGTCGTGGGTTGGGAGCAGCCAGCGGAGGCTGTTGGCCCATGGATGCTGATGGTGACGGATGTGGGAGGGAAGTGCATTCCTCTCCCCACGTCCCCAGAAAGGGCCCACGGGAGGTGCCCAGTGTGTGAGTGATGAGGTGCTGGCACCCACCACGTCCAGAGTAAATAAAAGTCTCGGTGATGGGAAGCAGGCGCTCGCGAGGAGTAGCGGGCAGGGCCGGGATCCAGACGAGATCCGTGCCAGGCGCAGCCCTCACGGCAGGGTCCAGCATGGCCGTGGGAAGATGTCAGGGGTGACACATGGGAGAGAGCTCCGCCTTCTCGTTAGACCCAACAATCAAGCCGTCTGTGGCCCAGCGGAGCCATCAGGGATGTCACAGCCCAGCCAGTGAGCAAGGGCAGTGTGGATCTGCGTCTCTGACCACTGGCCGAGGTACCAGACAAACACCCCTTCTCTGAGGCCCACGGGGGGAGGGGGGAGGCCGGAAGAAAGAGGACGCTGCTATTCATCTTGTGCTTTGGCAAACGGAAGTAGTGGATTAAACACAAACAAGCAGGACACTCTGGGCAACAGGCCACCCGCCTGAGTTTCCCTCCGCCTGCTCTGGGCCAGCCTGTGCCTCTGCTCAGCTCGGCTCAGCCTGTTGCCCAACCCAGAATCTCACCGTCCAGAGGCCACGCTGGTCCCCTCCCCACCAACATCGGACCCTCCCCACCCCAAGGTCAGGCCTGGACCCAGAGGAAGTTCCCAGGACCGACCCTCACAGGCCCTGGTGCGGTCACTGGGGTGCCCTGAGGGAGCCTTTCATGCAAAGTGAGGTTGGCAATCAAACACGCAGAGCAGGTGACCAGGGGACTCTGGACCACCAAGGATCTTTGGGGCCACTGGATCTGCATTTCCTGCTTGGGACGAAGCCCGAGCATTTTCCTTGTGTCCAGGGTTGGCAGGCCAGGGTGAGCCCCGGAGGTTGGTTCCCTGGGGCCAGATCCCACTGTGCTGACGAGGACCTTGGGCCACAGCCCTCTTGGTAGCCTGTCAGTGTTCCAAGGTTGTGGCACCCTCTGGGAACCTGGTGGAAACTCTGGCTCCTCAACCTGGAAAGATTCATTGAGTGGACCTGCAGAGGACCCGGAGGGCCCGCCTGGCCCTGCCCTCTGTCCACCTCGGTCTTCCCTCAGTCAGCTCTGGGGAAGATGAGGAAGGCCTCTCCGAGAGCCACATCCCTCCCCATCCAAAACTGAATGGGTTCCCTCGGAGTAGGGAGTGTTGCCGAACCTCTGGGGCCAGGAAGAGAAAATCCAGGGTCCAGGGACTTCAGCCAACAGCTGAAAACGCCAAATGGATTCACTTCTGGAATCAGGATCCAGTCACTCCCACACACCAGCACCCACTGCCACATCAGAGTCACACTGACCAGCTCTTCTGGCAACTCTGGGGGCCTTCCACCAGGGCAGCTGCCCCCACATTGCTATTGTCTCAGTGGAGGACCCACACCCCGGCCCCCCAGCCCGCCCCAAGCCTTATAGAAACCTGGCAGGACGCGCACCTTCCTTCAGGGGTCCCGAGCACCCCCACCTCTGCTGCTTGTCACTTCCCAGCCTGACCCGCAGAAGCACTGAGGGCCCAGCTCTGGGAAGATGCGCCCAGGTATGTTGATGCGTCCAGGACCTGAGGCCCAGCTGCAGGTAGAGCACCTAGGGAGCCACCCAGAACTTCTGTCTCTATCCAGTGGCCAGGGTTGTCAGACCCTTGTATTTTTTTTTATATGAAAACTGAGCCCAATAACATCTTCTCTGTCTACTTCATAAGAAGGCTGCAAGAATCGAGTGAGGCCAGAGACAGGAAGAGGCTTGTAAAAAGTAGTGCTTCCTGATAAGAGTTGCCATTTCTACAGGTTTTTGGCCCATGTGAGGGGGAAGTCCCCTGGAATGACAGTGAGACTCTCCGAGGTGACCATTCCTGCATTGGGGCCAGAATTAGTGCTCAGCCAGCACCCTGGCATCCGCCCACCCTGTGGACACCAGCGGCTTCCGTTTCCTCTCCTCTGCACCCTGCACTAGGGGCTCTGCTGATTGGCACAGGCACCTGTTTTCTGTAAAGTCAGGATGAGGGGCCAGCACTGTGCCCTTTACAGGCCCAAGGGGAGACCTGGAGAGAGAACTGCTGTTGAGCCTGCCCTGGCCACTTGGGATTTGGCTTGCTGCACGAGATCAGCTGCTACACCTGCAAGAACAAACCTGATACCCGCCTTGCCCTTCCAGTTCCTGACCCCTGAGCAGCTGTCCTAGGACCTCTGCCACTGCCCACTGGGGCCCTGCGGATTGCTCCCCTTCCTGCTGCAGGGGTGGGGTCTTGTGCATCCAGCAAACAGCCCTGAGCACCTGCTGCACGCCCAACATGGGTGCTGTTGCTATTTATTCTCACCCACCTGGTGCAGAGGCTGTCCTCCACGCTGGGAAAACACTGCTGATTTTAAAGAGCTCACAGGTGTCTCATGCAGCCCTGGCAACCCGGCAGAGCAGGGGAGCGGCCCCCAGGCCACACAGCTGGGAAGCAGCAGCCTGACCCTGAACTCAGTCTCTTCACTCAGGGACCACCTTGCTCCCCACCGATTCCCTGTCTCTGCTTATTATGGGGCTTGTTTCCCCTGAGCTGAACGGGAGGAGCCCAGGAGACTTCCAGCCCCGGGCTGTCCTCCTGCCAGCCAGCGGGATTGTGGGGAAGAGGGAGCGAGCCCTGTCCCCCAGCCACACCTGGCACAGTGGGAAGGAACAGTCCCCAGACCAGGAGGGAAGCTGCGGAGAACTCCCCATGACGCGCACTGGGCTTGGTTTCTAGAAGCTGGGGCTGAGCGCTCAGGCTGGACTCTGCGTGAACTTTGGCCACAGAGGAAGCAGAGACCCCCTACAAGGGAGCCCTAGGTGGGCTTCCTGCCCACACCAGCCAAGGGCAACTAGAAACACATACGTCCATAAAGCCAGCGTGAGACAGAAACCCGTGTTTTAGACTAGGCCTAACAGACAGAACCAGTCACCTTCGGAATACAGAGCCAGAGGCCTGTCCCACAGTTTGGGTGTGGGGTTCAGTTTAGAGAACCCACTTAATTCGGGAATCCCCAGGGGGACTATGAAGGTAAATTCCCAGGGGAGTTTTGCAGGTCGGGCATGTTCCACCCCCGAGGACACACAGAGAAAGCCTGCTTGGGGTGACTCACAGCTCCCACTCCCAGAGCCCCCTGGGAAACAGTCCCCCCAACAGGAGACACATGAGCAGTAGCACCAGACCCTGGGGCTTTAGCTGCCTGAACAGCCCCGTGGGGACCGAGAAGTACACATGCTCAGAATACAATCCGCATCCAGGAGGAACAGGAGACTTCAGGAAAAAAAAGGACATTTGATAAAGAAAGAATAAGTGGACATGATAAAGAACCAAACAGAACTTCATCACATGAACTCAGTAACCCAATGAGTCAAGGCAAGGTGGGCAAGGGACAGGCAGAGGGCGGGGGTAGGCGAGGGACAGGAGGGGGAGGAGGGAGGGATGAGAGAGAAGGGTGCTGCTCGGGTGGAGAAGAACAGCACAGTGACCAGCCACTGGTCACCACCTGTGGACTCAGACCCAGGCACATCAAGCCCTGAGCGACTCTGGGCGTGTGGGTAATGGTGAGTGGTGGGTGGCGCAGCAGATGGACGGTTAGGTAGAAGGTGACGGATAGTAGGTGCCTGGTGGGTGGTGGATCAGTGGATGGAGACAGTAGATAAGGGCAGGTGGGTGAGGGGTGGACGGGGAGAGAGATGGTGAATGTGGGTGACGAGGTGGGTGGGCTGAGGGGCAGGTACATGAAGGGTGGGTGATCACCAGGTTGAGCACATGAACAGGTTAGGCTGGGGGGGAGATGGGGAGGTAGAGGGCTGCCTGGCTGGGTCAGTGGACAGGGTGGGGGCCAGACAGGTGTGGAGGCAGTGGGAGGCAGGTGGTGAGGAGGGAGAAAGTGGCCAGGAGGGTGCTGAAGGGAGGTCGGGGGCGTGGGTGCTGGGCGGCTGGACAGTGAACGGTGGATGGATGGCCGGGAGGTGGCTGGATAGGGCCCGGCTGGCCTCACCTGGGCTTTGGCCCTCACGGCGTCGTACTCGGCCTTCATCCTCTTCTGGGCCTCTTCGTCCACGCTGGGGTCCCCGATCCTGTTGAACAGGGAGCCCGCCTCCTCCAGCAGCCGGTCCAGGAGCACGGCCTGGTTGTCCACGTTGTGCAGCAGCACCTGGGCGTGGCCCAGCTGCCACTGCTTCTCCTTCAGGCCCAGCTGCAGCTCCACCTGGGGCTCCAGAGTGACCGTCATCTTCTGGAACCAGCGGTAGAACTCGTCCCGGGCCAGCAGGTACTCGCTCCAGTGCAGCCACACCCACTCGAGGCGGCTGTGGGCACAGAGCACGAGGCCATGAGGAGGTGCCGCCTGGCTCCTGGGCAGGGGCCATGCCACTGTCCCCGCCCCAGCACCAGGGGCCATGGAGACAGGGTCACTGGACAGCTGGTGGACACTCCAGATTCTAGACCTCGCTCGGTCCTCCAGGAAGAGACCCTCCTGTCCTGCTAATAAGCTCCCAGTGAGGCCGCGGCTCAGCATCAGGTATGTCCTGAGAACCACCAGCCAGTGACGCGGCTCAGGCAGCAGTAAGCCAGCAGCACCCCAGCTCCACGATCAGCACAGCAATCCCTCCAAAATCTCCCTGCCACCGGGACTCTGAACGCATGGCCTGGGGCCCTGCCATGTGCTGTCCTCAGTCAGGAAGGACAAGGTCACCCGGGACTGTGCCATCAACGTGCAGACGCAGTGGTGTCTCTGGTTTGCTAGTTACTATCCAGTGGGGGACTGCGGCCTGCATGTGGGTTCCAGGGGCGCCGTGAACTCTCAGCGTGAGCACGCCTCTCCACCGGCCTCAGGGGCCCCTGAGCCACATGCAGAACCCTCCCGTCTGTAAGGAGGACCTGGCCCTCTCGCTCCAGCCAGCAAACCTCAAGCCACCTTGTTGGGAATTTTGGGTGGGAGGGTTTGCCCTTGCCCTTGCCGTTGGTCATCCCTCCATCCCCCTAACCTTCAGGAGCACTTGGCGGCCCCCGTGACTGGAGGAAGTGCCTGTGGCTCAGAGGCTGGGGATGTGGCTCAGTGGTCAATCGCATGCCTGGCATTTATGAGGCCCTGGGTTCAATCCCAGCACCAAGAAAAAAGGTGGTCAGGTAACTTTCCCAAGACCACACAGCAAGTACCGGGCTCCAGTGGAGGCCAGGTCTGTCTAGTCTCCGTCTCTCCTCTCCAACCCCTCCCCCACAAGCTGGGCTCCCTGGTGCAGGCAGAGCATGGGGCCAAAGCTGGCAGGCCAGGTCTTCTTCTCGGGGGCTATCCTGGAGGGCGTACGCGTGAGCAGTCTACCAGGACTCGTTAGCAGACCTGGGGCTCCCCGTATCTACTATCATCATTAAGCTGGATACTAATGAGGAAGAGGCAGGCAGGCCGGGGCCGAACCCCCAAAGAACATCCTGTTCCAGGAATCCCAAGACTGAGAAATGCCCAGGTTCCAGGCCAGTGTGGTGGTGGCCAAGGAGGGTCGGCAGCCCTGGTGGGGTCCCCTGTCCTGGCTGCCCTACCTGTGACAGTGAGTCATATAGGTGACGGTCTCCTCCCACTGGGCCTTGATGTCCTTCAGCCGGGCCAGGATCTCCGGCTTCTGGTCCTCGGGGCAGCACGCCAGGAGCTCTTCGGCCGCCCGCAACACCACATCCACCTTCACGCGCCCCTCGGGCTCCAGCTGACAGATTTTCTGTGGGCACAAAAGCCAGTTTCCCAGGGTTGGGCACACACAGACAGGCCCAGGCTCAAGAAGACAGTGGCTCGGAGCTGACAGCCCGGACCCTGGGGCTGGAGAGCGGGGCTCAGACCCCTGCCCTGCACCCCCTCTTCCGTGACCATGGGTGACCCACTCCTGGCTCCCAGGGAGGAGAAGAGGGGGAGCCCGGCACTGCTGGCCCGTCCCTGGGAGTACGCAGGCCCACTGGGCCTGGTCTGTCCGACACCTCTCAGCCCCGCTGAGCTCCGTGATCTCATTTGTGAAATGGAGGTTTCTCACTCTGAGGTGCAATGACCACCGTCTGCCTCTCCGATTGTTTTTTCAGGATGAAAAGACAAAACACATGTAGTCATGTCACAGACGGTCCTCTCAGGTCTGTTATGGGGGGCCAGCGTGGCCCAGGGGCCCAGTGCAGCCTCTGGAATCAGCAACCCTGTTTCCCACCAGGGCCGTGGTCCCACAGCCACTCCCACAGGTGACCAGTTGTGGCAGGGACACATGGCAGGTCTATATCTAGGAGACACAGGGGTCCCTGATGGGCCACTTTAACTCAGAGACACCTGGGGCCTTGCCAAGTGCCCTGAGATCCCCAGAGGCCTGAGCTGCTCCCACCAGCCCCCCTTGCTCCCCTGGCCTTGGGACCTGTCCTGCCTCCCAGCCTCCCAGCTCCTCCCTGACTGTCACCTCTCCTGGGGGTGTCCCCTGCCTGGCTAACCTTATCTTGCATCAACTTCTTGGTGGCAGGAGGACCCAAAGGAACGTGCAAGGTCTGGCAAGGAGTGAGCCTCTGATTATTAACATTATTATTCTGATGCTCCAGGGCTGGCAAGTGTTGGTCCCTGGGTCAGACCAACACTGCGTTCCCACTCCACCCCCTGCTACTGTGGGACCCCTGTCACAGGACTTATGTCCTCTAGCCCACAGAGCGGGAGGTCACGGATAGGCCACCAGGGTGGCAGTGTGTCAGGAGCTAGAGGACCTCTGTCACCTGCTGTCACCACCTGCTGCTCGGTGGCTTTGTGCTTCCTGGAGTTGCTCATTTGCCTAACGCTCAGGCACAGGCTCAGCTCCCAGTGGTCTCCCTGGGGCCAGCTGTCGGTTTCCCAGGCTGAGGTCCTGGGGCCTGGCTTCTCGGACCCTGTTCTGTGGCTGGAGTGTCGGTGCTGCCCCATCCGGCACCTTGGTCCTCCCTTCCTGTCCCAGGGCAGCACTAAGGACCCCTTCTTTGCCCACCTCATGTAGTAATTTAAAAGTCACAGCAAAGAAAGCAAACTGTTGAGCAAAGGGCACTGGCCCCAACCCCTCTTGATCCTCCTCAGGATGGTGACCGTGTAAAGGACGTCCCCACCCATGACACTAACCGAGCTGCTCCTGCAGGTCGCCTTTGTGTGCACAGGGGAGTGGGGTGGGGCACAGGTAGAGAGAAGCTGAGCAGGTGTCCCCAGAGGAAAGAGGTCTTATTTGGGATGTGGCAGGTCCCACAGGGCAGGGCTGCCGCAAGCAACCAGTATGGTCCCCTGCAACTGCTCAGTAGCAGGCAGCCATGTGGGGACGAAGAGGCCGGAGTGGCCAGTGCCCGATTGAAACCCCAGGGCTCCAGCCTCTTAACCCACTCCCCAGGTAGGCCGTTGCACATCACTCAGGAACAGGATTCCACAACAAGGCCAAGGACAAATGTCCTGCCATCTAGAGAGAGATTTGACTGGTTATTAATAAACCTCCTCAAGGATGTGGTGACTCCAACTCCCAGAATTTTCAGAGGGACCCCACATCCCCAGGCTTGCAAGACGGGCATGTTGGCAATCCCAGTCTTACAAATGAGGGCGCCCAGGCGGGCACAGGGGTGCATGACTATAGTCCCAGCCACCGGGAGGCGGAGGCCAGGGATGGCGGAGGCCAGGAATTCCAGACGTGGGAGACCGAGATGCTCCTCCCTCTGCAGGCGAGTCCTCTGTGGCTCCCTGCAACAGGAGAGGAGCTGGCGGTCCCCGTGCAGAACACCAAGCCCCCCTGGCTTGAAGCACAGACACCTGCCCCGAAAAGTCAACACATGGGGTGTTCCTGAGGGCCTGGGGCTGGGACAAGCCCCGGGCTGTGGCTGAGCTGGGGACCAGATTTCCCACAGTCCACCCTGCCCTCTTCCGCTGCCCCATGGTATGCTCCTCCCCTGGTCCATCACCAGCAGAGGGTGGCCAGGAGCGCCTGGCCAGGGGTGCGCAGCCACCTGGGAAGGAGCCCTTGAGCCGCAGCCGTCAGTGTGGGCAAGGGGGGTGACGTGGGGATTGGAGTGGGGTTAACCAGGGTTTGAACCCAGCAAAGACCAGCTGAGCAGTGGGGCGCTGTGCTAGACAGTGGGGTCCCGCATGAACAAGATGAAGCCGGCACTTCCAGGCTGCAAACAAGAGCTCAAGTGACTGTGAAAAAGAACCATGAGGAAGCTCAAGGAGAGACCTGGGAATCCCCGAGGGCTTCCTGGAGGAGGCAGCATGGCTGCCAAGTCTTAGAGACAGGGTAGACCACTAGAGGGGGTCTGAGCAAGATATATTTAGGGATGGGTGCATTTGGCTTTTGAAAGCCGAGTCCCAGGAAATGCTGGAATGTCCCTGACCAGAAAGGGGCCTAGAAGCCAGAGAGGGAGTCAAGGCCAGGAGTCCTGAAGTCCAGCAGGGTCTGGAGGCTGGGAGCCAGGAAGGAAGAGGACAAGACAGGGGGACGCTGGGAGGCGAGTTGGGAGCCCCAGGACCAGCTCGGCAAGGCTGGGCGGGGGATGAACTGCACGAGGGCAAGGCCTGGAGCCAGCTGCCTCCACTGAGCAGCCAGAGAGGCCTTTGTCCTTGGCCTTCACGCTCCCTCCCTCCTGTAAGGCAGGGACTGTCACTGTCCCCAGGAGCAGGACAAAGCTCCTAGAGCTGGGGACACTCCCCAGGTGCCAGCCAGGGTAGGAGCTGGAGCCCAGGTGCAGGCCCAGAACCCAGGCCTCAGCCGCTGTGGGCAGCCCCTGTCCCCCCCCACCCACCGTCCCCCAGGCGCCAGGGACAGGGGGCGTTTCCTGTGTTCTCCCTCCCTCCTGCAGCGCAGGGCTGCGACCAGGCCTTGCTCATGCTGGGCAGCCTCGGCCCCCAGCCAGGCCCCGCACGCCCTGCGAGGAGTCTCATTTCCTGCAGCCTCTGGCAGCACAAGGCCAGCTGTCCCCTGCTCTACCGTGGGAAGACGAGGTTCCAGAAGGACCCCTCCTGGCCACACAGCTACCAAGGGTCAGAGGATTGGGACCCACGTGCAGGGCCCTGGTGCTCACAGAGGTCGGGAGGCAAGAGAGGGAGATTGGCCAGGAAAGACTGAGGGACAGGCACTCAATTCACTGCCCACTCAGACCAAGCCAAAGGGCACTGCCAGCAGAGGACCCCCAGGAGGCTACGGGAGGCAGCTGAGGTGGGTGAGCAGGGTCGTGTGGCAGGGGAGGCTTTGGATCCCAGGTGAAGATTGTTTGGTCTTTGCTGGGCAATGGGGAGCCATGGGAGGTTGCAGAGGAGGAGGGTACATCATGGGACCCGACTTCGGGAGGATCCCCACACGGGCTGTGTGGTCGCCCTGATGTTTGGTACCATTCCCTTAGGCCACAGACTCTGGACAATAGGGTGTGTCTCAGCCACCTCCACGCCCCAGGCCAGGGATGGCAGAAAGGGGCGGGGCTCTCGAGGGCTCTGTCAGGGAGGCTTTCCCCTGAATGATGATGAGAACAGAGAGCGAGACCAAGTGAAGGGGCTCTCCAGAGGCGCTTGGAGACTGGGCCCCCAGTTGCAGGATGCAGAAGGTGGCTCCTCCCTCTGCCACCTAAGCCAGACCTGGACTCTGAAAGGTGATGCAAATTCTTCATCTTTACTGTCCTCATCCAAAAAGGGCGACAATGTTCCAAATGAGGTATTTGCAACAAATGTACAGAATAAGAGGGAACCCAGACAGAAACCCACAGGATGGGGGTGGGGACTGCCAAAGCTAAGTGGGAGGTACAGGGTTTTGCCACAGGAAAAGGCAGGCCCTCCCCTTAATCAGAACCACTGACCGGGTGCAGCGGCAGCTACTGGGAATCCCAGTGCCTCGGAAGGCCCAGGCAGGAGGATTGCAAGTTAGAGGCCAGCCTGGGCAAATTAGTTAGAACCTGTCTCAAAATAGAAAAAGTTTAAATAGGGCTGAGGGTGTAGCTGAGTGGTAGTGGGCCTCTGGCTTCCCTCTCCAGTACCAACAGCAAAAGAAAAACAAAAACAAACAAAAAAATGTTAGGCCAAGTGCACTGGCTCATGCCTATCATCCCAGCTACTTGGGAGACTGAGGCAGGAGGATCACAAGTTCAAAGCCAGGCTCAGCAAAAGCGAGGTGCTAAGCAACTCAGTGAGACCCTGATTCTAAATAGAATACAAAATAGGGCTGGGGATGTGGCTCAGTGGTAAATTAGAATTATGATATTTCCAAATGACATGACCCCAGAGGTGTTTAAGTCAACTACTTCACTTAAAGAAAGGAAAACTGAGGCCCAGAGAGGGATAGGGACTTTGCAGACGCCACACAGCAGTCTAACATCATCATAGAAATTACAGTGCCAGTCTCTGAATCTTGGTTTGATGTTCTTTGCTCTTGTCCCTTGGGTAGCCCACCCTCAGACCAGGGCACCAGGATGCCAGTTCAGGCACTGGCACCAACACTTCTGCTTAGTTCTCTGTGGACCCAGGCCCTCCTGTGCCCCAGTGGTGGTGGACAGAGCCCAGCGCTGGAGAGATCAGGTCATCGTTTCTGTCACTGGACAGAGCTCCCTCCCCATCCTGCTAAAGGCAGACCTGGCCCACCCAGACCCTCCTCACAGAGGCTGGGAAGAGGCAAGGGCCAGCGGAGTGGGGTCCACCTAGCTGCTCAGCTAGGACCACAGGAAAAGAGGGCAGGCTCCAGTCCCTTACTCCCAACATGTGCCCAAAGAGCAGCAGCAACGTCTACCATGGGACTCGCCGGAAATAGACTCTCAGCCCTGCGCCCGCCCCCGGCCAGAGTCTGCATTGCAACCCAATGTCACGCAGGCCAGAGTGTGACAACGCAGGCTAGAGTGTGACAACGCAGGCTAGAGTGTGACAGCACAGGCCAGAGCGTGACAGCGCGGGCCAGAGCGTGACAGCACAGACTGGCCTCCCCTGCCACCTAACAGGCCTGAAGCCTGATGTCTACGGGGAGGGACACGCCAAGGCCGCAGAGCCACCGGGGCCAGCAGTCCACGTACCTCGGTCTCCTGCAGCCTGGCCTCCAGGGCGGCGCGGGGCCCGCGGGTGTCGTCGTTGACCCACAGCTGCTCCTGCACGGCCGCCATCCAGGCCTCGGCGTCCTCCACGCTGCGGTCGAAGCCCTCCTGGGGCTGCTGAGTCATGGCACCTTCGGGGGCTGAGGAAGGACAGAGGAGGTCAGGAAGGTACAGGGGCCGCGTCCCGCCACCGGCACCCCAGAGCCCCTGGCTGCTCCCATTGGGCCACGCAGCCCCGCGGGGCCAGCCGTCAAGCAGGCGCTGGGGCCGCAGGGTCCGGGCTGGCAAAGCCCCACTGGCCTCGGCCCCCGCTGCCCTCTCGGCCAGCTCTGACTCAAGCGGCTCTCTCCTATGGCTCGAGGGCGGGGACCCTCCAAGAGGGGGTCCTGAAGCTCACCATCTGGACGCCTGAGCCCCAGATCTTGATTGAGTGGGTCAAAGAGCCCTCGGCCTCGGAGTCGCAAGGCTTCCCCCTCCATGAACAGCCCAGGCTGGGGACAGCCAGGGGCTGTGTGTTGTCCCTACTTCTCACCACCAGGGTCCCCGGCCGTCACTGATTTCCACCCCGCCCCCTGTTGGCACACCTGGCAGCGACGGCAACCGGCTGACCGGAGACGCAGCCGTGAGCTCCTCTGCCTTAGGTGGCACCTGCCCGCTGGCCCAGGCCACCCATCCAAACTACCCCCTTGCCGGACTGACACTCCTGGCCTGGCCTGAGCTGCAGAAGCAAAGTCTCAGGTTTTCTCACAGGGATTTCTTAAAACCCTGGGAAGCCCCAAACTCTTCTCCGACGTCGCGGTCTTCGTTATCTGTTGATGGTTCGTCTAACCTGCTTTGGATTAAAGCTATTTATATCTGCATTGTAGGATTATGTCTGGCTTACCCTCCAGCCTCCCATGATGCCTTGCACGGAGTGAGCCCAAAGTTGTTAGATAGAGAAACACAGAATGGGTATCGAGCGTAACACAGCAAAACCCTCACCACGCCATTATCTACCGTGGCAAGGCAGGACAGAGCCAGGAACAGCCCACGTGCCCAGTGACTGAGGATGAGTTCATTACATGGTGGTCTATCCGTACTTGACAATATTATGTAACCACCCAAACCTACGCTCACAGTGAACTTGCAGAAGAGAATGTAGAGGCTGTCACAATACCAGAACATGAGGCAAGGTTAAATATTTGGTAGTTACAACTCTACACCTTCTAAGGCAAAATGAAACATTAACTGGGTGCAATGGCACACATCTATAATTCCAGTGACTTGAGAGGTTGAGGCAGGAGGATTGCAAAGGTTGAGGCTAGCCTCAGCAACTTAGGGAGACCCTGTCTCGAAATAAAAAAGAAAAAGGGCAGGGGATGTAGGTCAGTGGTAAAGCTCCCCTGGGCTCAGTCCCCAGGATTAAGAGAGAAAGAAAGAAAGTGTGTGTGCTTTGGGGGGCGAGGATCAGCAACCACTTCTACCCAAAGGAAAACATGGGGACATCTCCATGTCAGAGGGTCCCTGTGACTGAATGGGAGCCGGGGTAGGGGCAGAGGTGGCCCACCACCCCAGGCCTGGCCCTGGCCGTCTCCAGGATTTTCTCCCCTGGCATGGGAACAGCACTGTGGCCTCAGAGGCCACGTGGTTGGGACACCTCTCTGCGGTCGGTGGGACCACCGCTGAAGTACTTTCCCTCATTTTCCCTCTCAGGCCCTTTGTGAATTTTCCAGAAGGGCCGTGGTCACCCAGTTTTCTGAAGAACCTGGCTGAGTGCCGTGGCCTTCTCCTCTGAGGGGGTTGGTTGCTCAACCAGCCCTTGCTGGGCGCCAGCCCCAGGCTGCGAGGGTGGAGAGCTTCAAGGAGGACATTGTAGGACAAAGGCAGCAGGGGAGGGGTGCGGGGGCGAGGCAGGGCGGGCTGCAGTGGGCTGCGTTCTGGGAACTGGGCCCGTGTGTTGTTTTTGTTTTTCTTCCAGAGCTGTCTTGATTTGATTTTTTTTTTTCAAACAATTTAATGCGCCCAGCACCACGCCCAGGCTTTGCTTCTTTTGAAAAGCACATCAGACAGTGAGGACAACTCATGGTCCCCAACCGTGGTCTAGGGGGTGTCTTGCCTGGCTTCCAAAGGTTCACTTTTGTTTTTTATAAAGCAAGGGACAGAAAGGCATCTCTGGGCTCTCAGAGGCCAGGGTCGGGGAGCGCCTCTAATCATCTCAAGGCGGAGGGGTTGGGTGACTCCCCGGCTGGAAGTGCCCAGGGCCCGTGTGGCTTGGTAGTGTGGAGACAGGGGGTGCATCAAATGGGGCACAGGGGCCTGATGCTGGGCTCTGTTGAGCCTCGGACGGAACCAGCGCTGGGCTGGGGAGCTGCAGGTGGTGCTGGGAGACCCGGGCCTCTTGGGCACGTCTGCCAAGCCATTTTGTTTCAGCTCAGTTCAACACTAGAAATGTGACAGCTCGGAGCCGCACCAGAGGCCAGGACCACAGCGGCAAATAGGCATGACCCGTCCCGGCTGCAAGGGAGCTCTCGGGTGGCCGCAGGTGGAAGAGCCACCAGGCGGGTAAGGACGCTCCTGACCTTTCCTCCTCAGAAAAACCGGTTTTAAATGCCAAAAATAAAAGACAAAGAATTAGAGAACCAATTGCATCAAAACCTAGTCACCAAATATTAAAAATCAAATCCACGAGATGCACGCACAGCGGCGCCCCTTTCTGGATGCACTAAGTCACAAGATCTAACGGAGGGCCTCTAAGTTATAACTGTGCAATAGCATTGAGCACAAATGACACTTGGAGATCCCTGCAGCAACCACAACGCAACCTAAAAATACATGTGCCCAGTTCCAGGCACTGTGACTCCCGGGGCCGCGGCTTGGCTCTGCCTCCTGCAGCTGCAGGAACACCGTCAGTTGGGTGTGGCAGGAGGTTGTTGGCTCCTGTCCAGGTTCACGGGTCCCGAGATTCTAGCCAGGGGAGGGTCTTTTGTTGGTTGTTGTTGTTGCTGGGGTTGGAACCCAAGGCCTCCTGCGTGCCAGGCAAGCGCTCTACCCCACCCCACCCCACCCAGGAGTCCTGCTCTCAGCTCCCCATCACCAACCGAGAGGAGCAACCGCACTAGGATGTATGGACAAACAGCTCCACGAAAGCCCATCTGGAGAGACGCTCCCCACACTAGGACCCCTGGAGGCTCACCAGGGAGCCCCCCGCCACGCTGGTCATTTGTGGAAGCCAAGGTCGGCGATAGAGGCCTCTGGGTGGTGGCCTGTGACGAAACCAAGTGGGGAGGCCCTGAAGAGCCCTGTGCCTAGTGGGGGGGCCACGAGCACATCCTCTGACAGAGGACGGAGAGCTGACCTCAGTGAACCCAAGCGCACTCCTGGCCTCATCCTGCGCTCCCGGGGACAGCCCTAGGAGCGTCCAATACAGCCCTCTGCAGCTGGGCCACCAGCATCTGAGCCACCTGGTCTTCCACTGCCCCCACCAGCCCTCAGCCAGCCTGTCACTGGCCCTGCCCCATCTCTTGTCCTCCTCCCTGACCCCACGGAGACCCCTGCCCTCGATGACCCCGTCCTCAATGATATTGCTGGGGTGGGGGGAGAGGGTCCTGCTCAATGCCCAGGAAGAATTGAGATGGGGCAAGCAGGGGGCTTTGGATTTGGAGTCTGGATAGTTCCCTGAGCAAGTGCCTGTCCCTCTGGGCCTCAGTGTCCCCATCTGTATGCGGTGAGTGTCTGAGTGTCGAATTGTGCTAAGGTTTGCATGTGACTTGTCCCCAGTGAAATTCATGTTGGCATTGATTCCCACTATAAGGGGGGTTGTGGGGTGGTGGCAACTCTAAGGGGTGATCAGGTTGTTACGAAGGACTAACCCTCTGCTGCGGCACTCGGCTGCTTCTCTTGGGAGTGAGTTCTCGCTCTCTGGGGCGAGGCTAGTTACCATGGGAGTGGGTGGTACACGGCGAGGTTGCCCCTTGCGTTTCTCTTCTGCACGCACCTGCTTGCCCTTTCGCTTCCCACCATGAATTAGAGCAGCACGAGGTCCTCACTGCTGCCATGTTCTTGGACTTTCAGCCTCCACAACCGTCAGCCCAAATAAACCTCTATTCTTCATAAGTCTGCCGGTCTCAGGTATTCTGTTATAGCAACAAAGAAATGGACCAGGAGTCCCTGAGGGATTTCTGAGGTTGTGACCGAGGCCCCTGTGAGCCAGGACAAGCCCAGCCACACACCAGGCCTGGGGACCAACCACTGCCCTCAGACTGTCAGTCACTTTTGTCCTTTGCTCCCTTTGTCTGCTCACGAGACCCTCCCCAGCCAGCCCAGAGAACTGCTTCTGCCTCACTGCACCCCACAAAGCGGCTGAGGAAAGCCCGCCTCCCACAGCTCCCATTTCTCGCAGCCCCTGGGCATTCCTTGAATCACATCCAAGGTAGAATGGCCAGGGGACACTTTCCATGCAGGGGACACACTTCCATGGCATCTGTGGCTGTGGATGGCTGCATGGGCCTCACGCATGCTCTGCTGCATATTGGTTCCCTGGCTCCGTGAAAAATGTGAGAGCCATCCTTGGCCTGCTGAGTGGACAAGAGCCGGCCACCAGCTGGGCCAGGACCGCGGGCTGTAGCTACCAACTCCTGTGCAGATGGCCCAAGGCGCCAACCCACAACTTCAGGACACCACTGCTCCCCCAAGCTGGCGGCATGTGGTCTGGGGTAGGGCAGGCCTCACAGGTGGAAGGACCGGATGGTCCGCCGCCCAGGCCTCATGGTTCACTGGCTGCAGGACATCTCGCCACTCGACCCCTCTGGGTATCCATCTCCTCACCTGGAAAATGAGTAACACCTACTGTGATCCAGGAAACCACCCCGTGGGCGGCTCCCAGAGCACCCTCCACAGGCGGACGCTGCTCCTTCCTCCCTGAACACCACGAGTGTTGGGTAGAGGGTCTCCCCTCTCAGGACTGGCAGCCAGACAGCAGCCCTTGACCACCCGGGGGCTCTAGGACAGCAAGGGGCCCGCCGGCCGCTAGACTAGTGGACTGCAGCCACACAGCGTGCCAGGGGCTGCGAGTGGAGACATAGGTGTGTGGCCTCACAGGACCACCTGTTCACTAAGGGACACGGACGTGTGGTCAGGTGGTCAGAGCACAGGCTGAGGCGGGCCTTGAGAGACAGGCCTGGGGACCACAAAGGGGGGGCTACTGGGGGCTCAGGAAGCAGCTGAGGGGCGGGGTGCTGCCTGTGAGGCAAAGGAGAGGGGCCCGCAGCTCCCTGGGGGGGGGGGAGAGGAGGGGCGATGGCAAAAGCCGGGATGGGGGCGTGAGGGCCAGGTCAGAGTCTCTCAGCAGCTGCGTCCAGGAGCTGGACTTGACCCTCAGGGCAACGGGAACCAGCAGGAGTTTTGGTATGGGGACAACAGCTTCAGGCGATGGCCAGGGTTCACGGGGATGGACACATGGGGCTGGCTGAGCCTGGGAACAGTGCAGATGGCCGCTGCGCAGGGCCAGGACAAGGGAAGGCCACGGAGCACGACCCTGTCTCTCTGTGGGGAGGGAGGACTCTCATCTTTAAGTTGGTTAAGGAGATGGCATTTTAAAAGGGACCCCGTTCACAGCAGCCATGAAGAACTCGGGGAGGGGAGCTCGAACCGAAGGAAAGGACAGGGACAGGCAGGTGCTGGTTACCCCAGGGGACCGCACACCTCGGATCCAAGGCTCCCTGTACTGAAGCAGCGGCTGTGCCCCATAGACAGGCAGCTACTGCGGGCTAATTAAAAAGAAGACGTCCAACTAATCAGTAATGCCTTTGAAGAATCTGGTTGATTCCAAATCTATTTTAAACAAGTTACATTTGTAGAAATTTTTCAAAATCATGTAGAATCTTCTCCCTCTAGTTTCTGACTACTCTTTTTTGTGCATCTGTAGATGCCCTTTAAACAGTCTTCTAACAGGCTATTCAAGATTTTCACATAGGTTTCAGTTCTTGACACATCGGACAAATATTTCCTTACCTTGTTTTATTACATAAAGAAATGTTTAACAGGTCACAATCACATTCGTGTGTGTGATATATTTGTTCCCACATTATGTTAATCATTTTGTGGTATTATTTTTTAATGTTTAGTACTCTAATCCATCTAGAATTAATTTTGTTGCACTTAATAAGAAAAGAAAGTAACCTCAAAAGTAAAAATAATGATAATAATAAAGAACTATGCATTTTGTAAGCATTTCTAAGCAGCATTTCAGCAAGAAAAAGTGCTTGGGTGAAAATGAATAAATAAAGCTGCTTCTATTTCTAGGCCTCTGGAGGGGGAAGGTCTCCGGAAAGGGGCAGCAAGGGGTGGGCTCTGGGTGTGTCTCTCAGCTGTCTGTCGGGGCAGCAAGGGGGCCTCCGAGAGGACACTGACCACTGTGGTCCAGGCAAGTGCAGCCTGTGGAAGAGACAGAGAGGGTACAGCCTTGGGTCTCAGTGGCCATGTGGCCATCACAAATGGCATCCAGAAGAGGAGTATTTTTTTTTTCTCTTTTTTTCTTGAGGTAGAAGACCCAGGTTGGGGCAGGTGACAGGGTAGACCAGAAACAGATTAAGGACTTAAAACCTGGGCCAGAGCCGTTGGCTGGGAAGGTGGAGCAGCCCGTAGGAAGGTGGCCAAGGCCCTGGGCACAGCTGGAGACAGCCTGTCCGGAACGCTGCGAGGGTGCATTGTGGGAGAGGTCAGGAAGCTTCCAGAACCTGAGTGCCAGGTCTGAGCCATCTCCTCAAAAAGGGGACCTTAATGAGAGCCACAGGGAAGGCTGACTGAGGAGGCTGAGCTGTCACAGAGAAGTGAGGTTGACAGAGGGGGCGGGCAACCAGACGCAGACTGCAGACGCGGCCAACCACGAACTACGGCCAGGGGGAGGGGGCCTCGGTTCGTGGAATAACCAAGTGGCTGCATTACGTCAGGAGTTTGCAAAGCCCCCACTGGGTCTCCACACCCCGTTGGTGAGGATGGTCCCTCCATCCTTGGACTTGGCCTTGTGGCAGGGGCCTTGGTAGAACCTCCTCCGCCCCACACAGGGTAGCGGAGCATCTTCCTCTCAGACGTAGGCGCCAGTGGGGCAGGCCAGGAGAGCTCCTGCTTGTAGACAGCAGCTCAGGGACAGTACAGGGACGGGGAGCCTGCAGGCCAGAGCCACTTGAGGCAGCACTGACTGGAGCCTCCTTCTGCTGGTTCCAAAGCCCCAGTTTGACTCACGGATCACCTGCCTCCCAGGTGAGGCCCAGCTCTACCCGCCAGCGGGGCACCAGGCACAACCGCCCAGGAGGACAGCAGCCCTGGATCAGCTGGGGTCCAGAGAGGCGGAGTGACCCACTGAGTCCTGCTACAAACCAGGGGAATGGCATGCAGGGGAAGGAGCCGAGGAGCTACCAGAGGCAAAGGGATCCTGGGTCCGGGGCCACCGAGCGCAGAACAGGAGGCTCCACCCAGGATGGCGAGGCTGTGGGAGGAAGCCCCAGCCTTGTCCTTGCCTGGGCCCTGTAGCGTTAGCTCGGGCTCAGCCTGAAGCCAGCACCAAGGAGCCTGTGCCACACAGCCTGCAGGGTGCACTTCTGACTGTGGGTGGAGCAGGGGACAGGGAGGAATGGATGTGAGCTCCCAGGCTACAGCCTGCCCATCAGAGACCACAGAAGAAGGACACTTGTCCCAGGCCCAAGAACAAATGGTCAAGTTGCAATGTGGCCTGCAGAGGACCATCCTAGCAGGAAAGACCGGGCATTTGGCACTGATAGAAAGGCTGGCACTGGCCTCCTGCCAGCTCAGCACCATGGATGGCCACTGGGAACCAGCGCCCTAACCCCAGGGTCAGTGGTTAGAGCTTCTCCTCTGCCTTCCCTTTCTTCCCAGGCCCTAGGAGGCGGAGGTTGCAGGGGGAAGCCCCTCTATGTCTCTGCAGTGCCACTGTGAGGTGCTGACACCCATAAGGACCAAGTCAGGACAGCCCCTTGCCTCCGTCCCTCAGACTCCTGAACGGCATTTGAAAAGTCTCCAGGAGTTGGCTAACACTGTGACACCACTTCTATTTGATGATCCAGGGTTCCAAGCACCCTGCTCAGGACCCAGCTAAATCCCAACAGGGGCACCCTTAAACCATGACACCATACCCGCTGCCTTACAAGAAAGGGGCAAAGCCAGGTTCACAGTGACAGTGACATGGCTAGCATTACTAGTCCCATTTTACAAAGAAAGAAACTAAAACTCACAGAAATCAATAACCTGTCCCAAAGGGGAGGATCCAGGGTGAAAGATAATAGTCATGGCCCACGTTTGTCTGTTTATAGCTATTAACTTATTTAACCCACAAAGGACAGTGAGACGTTTACTATTCTCCCTATTTTGTGGCTGAGAAAACCGAGGTTCAGCGATACTGAGGACACTGCCCCAAGTAACAGCGATGCAGAGTGGGGCTTGAACCCAGGACAGCTAAAGTCCAAAGCTTTTGTTCTTCAACCCCACGGTGTACACAGCCTACCCGCCCTGTCTGTACCCCAGAACCCACTGAGAGCTGCCACGCAGTGCAGGGAGCCCGGGGCAGACAGCCTCTGCAGGCCTTCAGTAAGATCCAAGTTCAGAAAGGGACCCTCGGGGATTGGAGGAGCTAGAGTGGAGGACAAATAGGCCCCCACTGCCAGGCAGCATCCGTCTTACCGCCTGGCCACGCCTGCCCTGTGCCAACCCAGCAACCTTCTGACATTGTGTTCTGGAACCCAGGAAGTACTGGGATGTGGCTCTAGACAACCAGGCTTCTGCGGCAGCCCTGGAGTGTACAGCCTGGGGTTCCCGCCGGGTGAACCCAGCCAGGGGCCGCCAACCAAAAACCCACCCAGAGTCCCGGTGGGCTGTGACTCACCAGCACTGTGACTCAGTCCTGCCCTGTCACATGGAGTTCCCACCCTTCCACCCTCCTTCCCACTGCCCTCCTATACTCAGATGGAATTTCAGGAACTGAGACACAGCTGGGTTCAATCGCAAAGTGTATTCCAACGGACTCCAGGAAAGCAATCCGCCCAGAGATCGCAGAGGATGCTGAGGAGAGGCC